GCAGCTGCTTGACGACTCCTTAGGGGATCTTCGGCGTCGGACAGGGCGCGCGCAGGTGACTTCCGCTGCTGGCGAGGGTGGTAGGTTGACTCTTCACGATGGCCTTTTGATGTGGAGGGAGGATACGTTGGATGACAGCCGATGTCTCCAAATGGATCCAATCTTGTATGGCTTGCGCTCAGAGGAAACCGCCGCAGCAGAAATGTCACCCGCCGCCGCAATAAATTTCGGTCTCGCGTATCAACGAGTTGGTGGCACTCGATGTCTTAGGGCCCCTTCCGGTCACATCTAGAGGGAACAAATTCCTTTTGGTGGGTGTCGAATATTTTTCTCGCTGGCCGATGGCTTGGCCGCTACCAGACCAGTCGGCGGCCTCCATTGCCAATGCGTTTTTGAACGGTTATGTGATGGATAAGGGTGCTCCCGAACAGCTGCTTACGGACCAAGGTCGGAACTTCTCCTCTAAATTGTTGCGCGAGGTCTGCGATGCTTTGGGCACTAAGAAAATCAGAACATCGCCGTACCACCTTCAGACAGACGGAATGGTTGAACGTCTGAACAAGACCTTGTCCGCCATGCTCTGTCAGACGGTGGATGCCAAGCAGGCGGATTGGGATCTGCATGTGCCGAGCGTGCTCGCTGCGTATAGGATGGCCCCGCACGCTTCCACGGGGCTTTCGCCGTTTTCCCTTATGTATGGGCGGGAAAACGTACCCCCTATTGATGCCCAACTGGGTGCGCCGATTGCTAACGCTAAATCAAAACTGCCGGAACACGTCTGCAATTCCCTGCGATGGATTTCTGAGGCACGAGAAACGGCTAAAATCAACACCACCAAGGCACAAGCGCGCAATGAACGTTGTGCGCACAGGGCTTTGCTACATTGCCCTCAAGTGCCCGTTGGCGCCTACCCTAAGCTGCATTAGCCCTGGCATGGACCTGTGGAGGTGGTCGAAATCAAATGTCCACAGTGTGTGCGTATCCGGGCGGGCCACCGTCGTTGGTTCATCCACCCCTCGCGGTTGAAGCCGTTTGCTCCTCCTCGGCTTGCTCCTTCATCTCCACAAATTGGACTGCCGGAGTCTGACGTGTCTGACGAACCTGAGGCGGCGCGGTTGTTTTACCGCCCACAGTATCCGAGCCCCTGACTGCCAACGTGAACTGCGACCCCAAACGGGCCGACCCTGCTGCGAAGGAGCCCTCCGCTCCGCCATCGCTTACCCTGCCGCCCGGCGTGCCGACCACGGAAGAGCGTTGTTCTTATGCCCTTGTTTTGCTGCCTTTGTCCGTTATTCTCTTATTCATGGTTATATGTTGTTATGGGCCCTATATTGGGTTCATCTCTAGCCGGGATGGCTAGTCTTTTCATTACGGGGGGGGGGGGGGGGGGGGGGGGGGGGGGGGGGGGGGGGGGGGGGGGGTGATGTAATGAGAGAGCGTCATCCGGGGGGGGGGGTGCCAGAGGGTAACGGGGACAGGCACCATTACGTAATCAGCATCCAATCCGAAGGGGGGATAATATCTGGGCCAGGAAGGACGGGCAGAGTCGCAAAGAGAGGTTCTGGAACCATCGAGAAGGTTCCACGAGGGGGCATGGCTAGAGGCGGAGCCAAGCTCCACCAGGGTGAATAAAAGGAGAGGGAGGGGAGGACTCGTGGTCGGTGTGGGAAGCCTGGGTTCCGGACCGCATCGCTGCTCATCCCCACCTCGCCACGGGCCACATGGTGGATCCTCCAACAGAGCTCTCCCCTCCTTCCGGCACGCCGTCAGTCAGCGGCGAGGCTGGGAGAGTGGAGTGAGCCGCGGGGGTACTCGGAGAGGGACGCCTCGTCTACGGTGTTGAGAAGAGGGAAATCGCCTGGAGGGGGAGGGAGCGGAGCTGTGCCGTACTACCGTTAATTAAAGAAGCACCCTGACAAGCATCGTCGTGGAAGTCTTTTATTACATATGTAAAAATATAATTAAAAAAATCACTTATGTGGAATAGCGACTAAATATAAATGACTGACCCCACTGGTGAACTGGTAGGATCTGTTTGTGTACGCAAAGTGGCATGTCACGTAACACAACGTTCTGTTTAGCCAGTATATGTTTCAAACACGACCTTCCTGAAAGGGAGCCTTTAAAGACTCGGTAAGACCCTCCTGGGTAAAAATTTAAAATGATTTAATATACATAGTGCTGCAAATGTAATAAGCTAAATTGCCGCTTTCGAAATGGTACACACAGGTTTATCGGTTTTAGAAAAAATCCCATATCATCATCATGATTATACGTGTTTGACATATGCATAATATCTCAATAGGCTCTCACCTATGCATCTACAGATAGGCATGCAGTACTGATATGTATGATGCTCAGTACAGTAGATCACTAATTACAACATGAATTTGGTTCAAGAGTATCTATGAAAGCGATTACTTGAATTTATATTCAATGTTATGTGGAACGGGCATGCAACTGTAGCCTATAGGAATGTGAAAATATGCTGTAATGGTCATCTTGGTAGTCTCACTAAATTCTCATCAATGGTCGCAGTGGGATATTTGTAAAAAATTACCTCTAAGAGTGATATCAATTTGGAGAGAGCTAGTTATCAAATTCCCTACAGCTGAATTCCTTCTCTAATCACAATGTTGTGCTGTACTTATTTTAACCCCCCCCGCCCCCCAAAAAAGAGATTTCTGATGCCAATGGGCTGTTATAAATGTCATCTATCTACAGCGCTCGAGTCAAACCACAACTCTTTATATGAGAGCACCGCGTGACACTGAATTTCAAGCCGAGATAGCATCTTCAGCTGTTAAGAAGTCAATTACTGCTTTCTTGGCAAGGAACGATGAACCCAAGGAATTCTATGAATCGTCATGATTCTGGGTGCCTATACGATTAAAACAACGTCGTCACAGTCTTACCATCTTGTCTGAATTCTTTCTTGATTGTTCCATTTTTTTTGTAACATCTCCTTTGCTCCATTAGCCTCAATATAACAACGTATTACTCTCCTATGTGTTTGTGGGTTGTACTGCGTGTTGCTCGGCAAATATGTCTGAAGTTTCGCAGAACTGAAGTCAGTTCCCGAAAAATTTACTTCCGTAAAAAAAAGGTCCCAGCATGTGAAGTGAAACGTCGGGATATCGTGCCGAACAAAACGCGGTAACGTGAAAGCACATTGGACAATTCCACAGCACAATCGCGAAGATCAATTCCATTGTTACAGCATATCGCGTGCAATCGGAAGTAATCCATTCTTGTATTAACAAAAAATCAATCGACGTATTGTAAGTGTAAAAATAGATTACAACCAACGAATCCATTCATCGTTACAAGCTGACTTCCTAATTGCTTCTGATGCATGTTAATCCCAATGGCCCGATCAAAATAAGGATTTGCACCTTGCAACAACAACAAAAATATTTTTTGTAGTCACCGTGAGCATTTACAGAACTCTTCTTTATATTCTTAAATTTAGCAGTTGTACCAAAGCTTCCAACTCAAGAAAATGAAAAGGCCTCACCTTATACGGCTACTCGCAGAAACTATCCTCACAAAACAAAGGGACGTCCTAAGATGCAGGGGGTATCCCAGTCAGTAGTGTCCCTATGGAGGCTGCAGCCCTTGCCGGATCTTGTTCGGTTAAGGGATTGTGGGTGGGCGGGCTAGGAGAGCTAGATGAGAGGGGGGGGCATTTTGGTGCCTGCCTTAAAGCTCTCTCTACACATGTTCGTGGGCCCGACAGGAATTTCTAAATGTAAGACTTTAAAGAAGACTCCTGGTGGATGCTGACATGGAACAAAATTTAATGCCTCAGTGCTGCCACCTTTACCTATGTGTTAAACTGACCTTTACCTATGTATGTTGTACTACTTTCACACCGCATGTAACCAACAGTGGAAATCAGACGTACATCACAGCATTGCCTCTGAACCAGACAACATTTAAATTAAATAAAATAACGCATTCTTTTTCTGATAGACTTCAAATTAAACTCCTCGTATATATATATGACCCTCTTACCTGAAATTGGCTTATCCATAACACCATCCACACATATTAACGTCTCTAGGTTACAATGTAGTACTAAATTATGCGATATTTCTCTGAGACGACAATGGCCAAAATGGCAAACGATCCGGAATGTTTAACCAGCGACAAAATCTTGCCATAGAATATGCAGACTTTGCTCTTAACTATGGGTCTCCAGCAGGGACGGAGCCAGGTTGTTGACTTTGGGGGGGCTGACTTCAATATTCTGAGATATCCAGTGTTTATGTATTCCAATGGGCGCCACAAATTTATAAAACAAATTTTATTGGATTTGAACGCGGAGTTTATTAATAGGTCGGAGCCGTTGATGCGGCTAATAAGTTCGATAAGTTCGAAAGGCTGCAGCACAAGGTGGCAGCCAGCATTTTGCAGCAGCCGGATATCCGGATATCCGGATATCCGGTTATCCCGATTACCGACTTTCCCATAATTTCAGGGGGGTCCTCGTTCAGGGGTGCATTTGAGCACCCCCAGCCCCCCCTGTGGCTCCGCCACTGCGACATCACCCACTACTATTAAATAAGTGCTTGGCCTCAATTCAACTTTGTCCATCACCGAGTCTCTAAATCGTGAAACTATGTAATCGGCTATATGTTAAAACTGCTCGTCGCTTCAAAACCACAGATTTGTTTAGCAAAGTCTGACTATGCTGATGAGACCCAGAAATTCGAAACCGGTCCAGAGGTTTTACTCTTAAACAAATGCTGTTAGATAATATTCGATTAAAAAGCCAATAAGCTGATGACTATTCATGTTATGTTTATATTCTGTGTTTAATCATCACTGACATATTCTTGGTTCTTTCGGTAAAGTCACGTAGAAGGGAAACAATAAAATAGTAAAAATATAAAACAATAAAAAAAAATTTGATTTAAAGCTTTCGTGACTGCTGTGATTCATATTCTTGGTTCTTTCGGTAAAGTCACGTGACTGTACCGAAAGAACCAAGAATAATAAAAAATAAATTATTACTTTATTGTTTCCCTTCTACGTGACTTTACCGAAAGAACCAAGAAAATGAATCCCTGCAGTCACGAAAGCTTTAAATCACTGACATAGTTTGAGAAGTTCCTATTGTATAGATGTTACATTTTCCCTCACTCAGCGATTTGACAAACCGTCAAGAATCAAGGCTTGCTCTTAAATTCCTAAGTCAATTAATTTTTTTTCCCACTGTATTGCATGTAAAATCTACAGTGATTAAAAATCACACGCTGCTGACTCAATGCATGTGTAGTGACGTCTTAGGTCTTCGGTCTTTACACTCGGCATCGTGGGTCAGGCAGTGTGTCACTGACTGACCCGGTTATGTAGTTACCCCGTTGTGGTCTAGTTAACCAGTGTACGTTTATGTAAAAACCCTGTTGGGGTGTTGTAATAAACGTGTTGCCTCCAAGTTAAAGTGTGTGCCTTTGTGGAAACCACTACACATGTATTGTAAGCGTAAATAGTGATTCCCAGAGCTTTCCAGGATGTTTTCGTGTTATACTGCGTGTTGTTGTTCTGAATTTTAGAATTACATTTCCTAACAAGGCTCGAAGCAACATGGGAGCAAAACGTCGGATACCGTAGAAAATGGTACGCCGTACAACGCAGCGCAACTGTGAGAACCTACGGCAGTCGAACTGATCTCAATGACCTCCCGACACATTCGTCAATGACAAATAAGCGACTCGTGAAATCGTTACATTCCTGGCCTAGAGATAGCGGCCGACATCATTGTGGGCAGCAATGGAGTGCTTAACTCTAATAAAGCTTTTACTTGTGCAGAAAAAAAATGACACTCAAATTCAAAAGCACGCTATGTCTGACACACACAACAAGGCAGGGAATCTTGGACCACTTTATCTGGCCCTTTTATGAACGTGGCCTCACTGCTATTATTGCACCCATTAGATACACAGTGACCATCTTTGTCCACTCACCTTCCAGGCACTCGATGAGAAAAAAACAAAGCAATTGTGCGATGACAACATCACGAAGCCATCAGCTAGAATTACAGAAATGTAAAAGTAGTTTATACTTCAGAGCATGCAGCTCGTAAAGCTGAAAGTTGTTGGTTCAAATCCTCATCGGGGGTTGACTGAGCTAGTCATTCCTCTATGGTGGAATAAATAAGTCAATAGTTGTTTTCTTATGGATTAACTCACCCCCATCATAAAAATGTGCAATTTCCACCACTGGTCTAGAGCTGTGAACATGAGTGTAATGCCACCCCATGCTTATACGAGTGGGCAACCACTACAACTCGTGGCCACAACGGAATGAACAAATATGACCACTTATAGAAACAACATATTAAGTGGTGGTTTCTGGCATACTTCTTCCTTTAAACAGCTTTTTTTTACCCAATTATTAGTGCAATCACGTCGGGATCTAGCAGAAGGTGGTGGAAGTGATGGCAATGGATGATGGCACCACCAACCGCGTTCGCAGAGGACGGCCTCTTGACTTGCGTGGAATAAACGACGATGGTACCTTCGGCTCCGCTGTCATTCCTTAATAGAGAACTGCTCCTCCTCCTGCGGTTTGGGGATCCACTCTCCGTAGCCGAGCCGCTCCAGGCTCTCCCACAACCGCTGCTTGGCCATCTGGAAGTCGCCCGCAGCAATTTTGGCCTCGGCATAACTGCCGCCCCCTGGTGGCTCCCGGTGATTGAACTTGTGCCACGTGAGGGTGAAGGCCTTTGATAGCGCCCGCTTGGATAGGCGGGACACCACCAACGCGCCGGTCCTGGGAACAGATACGTTCACGGCGAATTTTTTAAATTAAATAAATAATATCCGCAACATTGGAGGTGATCGGGTGACTCTAGAGGTCAGAGCGCTGAGCTGGCATGACTGGGACCCTGAGTTTCAATCCAGGCTGTTGTCCGTGATTAACCTGGTTCTCAAAGTGTCGTGAGTTGTCACCACTGATTGCACAAAAAACCGTGACACTAAATTTTGTTCAACACTTAATTCGGGCAGAATTTTGGCTCAAAAAAATGTGAATATCAGTTTGATTGTAATGCGATGGACATTACTCTTGTGTGCAGAATGGGTGGGAAAGTGCTGCCCTCAATTCTGCGAACCAGAGGTCACTTAAAGTGATCACAGAAGTAGCTCTGTGAAGTCACTTCCGTGGGCCATTTAACTTCCCCTGCACCTCCAATTAGCACGGTTGGGTACGTACGGTGCGAAATAAGTTCAACATACATAAATGCATAATAGCTAAGCAGAACTGAGCCTGTATAGTGCCTGGATGGGCGACTACCATCCACAAATAGGTTGTCATAGGCAGCTGCGGGGCCACGTGGCAGGCAAGAGGGTGGTACAGCAAAATCCATTACTGTACTGCAATTCTATGCCCCCCCACCTTCACAAACCCACACTGATGGGCACGGTGAAGTATGACCAAATAACCCCCATGACTCCAACGATGTGGGAAGGTCCTCGTTCAGGGGTGCATTTGAAAAACGGCTGCACATGCGTCGAGCACCAGATCAGTCGGTGGGATAAATCCAATTGGTACATTTAATGTTCGTGCCATTCTAATACCGCAGGGCTATCAGAGGGGCTCTATGAACACATTTACATAGTCTTGCAGGAAGGGGCAATGTTCCTATATAGTTTTACCCAATTAGGTAATTCGGTATTTTGCCAATTTGGACCGTGATCCTGGCACAGAAACGGCTTACTCTTTTCCGAATAACGTCACGGAATCTTTATCGGCCGCTGTGAAACAGACGCCAGGGGGTGGCAGTCGGTGGGTGGGCCTCGCGATTCCCAACTCTGCTCCCGACGGGCGGTCGGATGACCCGACGACGACGACCGACACACGGCGCGACACCTTACTGGTCCAGAGCCTTGCCCTTGGTGCCATCCAGGATTTCCGGCCGCTCGTCCCCGAGGCTCCAGTTGGCGCTCGTCTCCTTCGTCTTGCCCACCTGCCTGGCCGAGTCGTACACGCTCACCCGCCCCACCTGTCGGTACACGCACGCGCGCCGCACGCGCAGACACGTGCGTCCGTGCACGTATGCATGCAGGTGTCTCGCACAGTGCCATCGTCGTTTATTCCACGCAAGTCAAGAGGCTGTCCACCGCTAACGCGGTTGGTGCTGCCATCATCCACTGCCATCACTTCCACTTGACTAGCTCAGTCAATCCCCGTGCACGCATGGCTGGTTGGCAATTGAGCAGTCCTTTACGCCAGCAGTTCTCAACCTTTGTTTGGCCACTCTACCCCCTTGTTGAATATTGTTTCAACCAAGCACCCTCCTTGCCCGACCCCAATATGGTTCCTGAGAAATAAATGTATGAATAATGAACGTCAACATTTAGACCACTTGTCCATTTTGTGAGGTATCCTAACTAGCTAGTAACAGCAAGCGAATAAAAACAAATTCAATAGAACATCTGGATGCATGACATAATTTGTTAATGCTCGGTGGTTACTCTTGGAAACCACATTACGATCAATGAGTTTAGAACGGTCTTTTATATCATTCTAGGTTACCATATGGCTAAAAATGTTAACGTAGTTATTTTATATTGGCAGATTCATACATTGTTATTCACCAATGACTCTCATGTACAGTAAAACCTCGGATTGCGAGTAACTTGGCCTGCGAGTGTTATGCAAGACGAGCAAACATTTTAAATAAATATTAATTTGATAAACGAGCGAGGTCTTGCAATACGAGCAGTGTAACGTGTACACGCTTTGTACTGCCGAGCGTCACGTGATCACAACTTATACACGACGAAATAATTTCATACATTCATTAATCACCTTACGTACCCCCCCCGGGACATTGACACGTACCCCCAGGGGTCCGGGTACCCCTAGGGATCCGCGTACCCCCGGTTGAGAACCACCGCTTTACGACTTTGAGTGACGCGAGTAGGGAGATGTTCTTTATACGGGCACGGCAATGGATTCTGACGTCTATCCGTATAGCGCTTTGAGTGTATTGTCAACACATAATCGGCGATTCAGCTTGAATGTTACTCTGGTCTCTCTATGTGTGCTGGGAAGAAGGGCCATTGCCCGAAATATCGTCTGTGAAGTTTTGCCGTTCTTCCTGAAAAGGTTTTAAGAATCAATGAGACTTCCCTGGATGAATGAAGGGCATCATCGCTACGTTTATATCCAAGTCTCACTGAATCTCAATAATCATTTGCAGGAGCCTTGTGCTGGGATGATGAGCCAATGACATTTTTAAAGGAGCGTTTTGCATGCGGGAGAGGAAGCTGATACACAAAGCTGCACACAGACTTGTCACTGTGTTGTCAGCACCTGGCCACGTCACAGTCCAGGGCATTTGGGATCCTCGTGGCACACAATGTAAATCTGCATGATCCACCTAGCCCCCCCCCCCCTGCAAAGCTCTGGTATAAAGGCGTGCGACGTCACACCCAGAGAATTAGCTTGACGTGTTTTTGTTCCCGGTTTCTTTCTCGGTAAAGGTGCTTCCTGTGGGCATTGTTTTTCGTCCCAGGGTGTGTCCTTTGTTCTCTCGTTGGGGAAATCCCAATTATTTCGACGTTTGCCAAAACAACGAACATCTGACAAAAAAGCAAGTGTCATCAAAATCCACAACGCTTAAGGAGTGGGTGGGGGAACACAAGTATTGTAAAGGGATGAACGAAAGGATGGCAAGAGAGATATGAGATAAAGATGATGCGAGGGTTTACAGAATGCAATTTGATAAGGTTGGTCTTGAGCAACAACTTACACAGAGGGATAGATTACGAATTAATTCATTAGTAGCAGGTCACTCCAAATCCGCAGACCAGGGTAATGGGAGGGATGGGCAGCGGGAGGGATGGGCAGCGGGAGGGATGGGCAGTGGGAGGGATGGGCAGCGGGAGGGATGGGCAGCAGGGATGGGCAGCGGGCGGGATGGGCAGCGGGAGGGATGGGCAGCGAGTGGGATGGGCAGCGGGAGGGGTTGGCAGCGGGAGGGATGGGCAGCGAGTGGGATGGGCAGCGAGTGGGATGGGCAGCGGGAGAGATGAGCAGCGGGAGGGGTGGGCTGCGGGAGGGGTGGGCAGCGGGAGGGATGGGGAGCGGGAGGGATGGGGAGCGGGAGGGATGGGGAGCGGGAGGGGTGGGCAGCGGGAGGGATGGGCAGTGGCGGGTGTGACGCGTTACCCGCGGGTGGTGCAGGGAGAAGCCCGCGGGTGCCACGCTGTTGAAGGTGGCTGCTTCCTTCTCCATGCGGCAGCACACGGCACGCGCCAGGTGTCCGTGGCTGTACAGGTAGCCTGCGCGACACACAATGGCGACCGCCCATCCGTGACCGATGAGAATTGGCGAGCATGTCCAACGGTGATTGGCCGTACTTTTGAACCCTGCCAGATGTAACCGGTCGACTGTCAAATTATAAACGCTTATGCCGAGCACAGATGTACGTATGTTGAACTTCTTTCGCACCGTACGTAGCCAAACGTGCTAATCGAAGATGCGATGTTGTAAGATAATCATGACTCCTAATTTCCACGCACCGATTCTCCCTATTATTCATGATTTTCTCATATTGTTCCATCCCACATTGAGAAGAGCTTGCTATTATCCGTAAATCGTTTGTGGATGTTGAGTGATGTGGAAAATGTTAATTTATCATCCGCGGGGTAAAACGTGATTTTTTCAACATGTCTGCAGATGTGGGTAGATGCCTTGGCATCCTCATTAGCATTGGAATGGGCATTTGAACAGGCGCTGTTTTAACCATGCATGAAGCTGTGTCCACTCATGGACAAAGCTGTCCCCTTTTGATTGTCCATTCAAACACCCAATTGAAATGCTAATGAAACATTCCAGTAATTGACTTCTGTGTTGGAAAGCGAAATCTATCGCACTTCTCCCTGAAGGAGTCCAAAACTGCCTATTCATTTATCGAATACAGTGGTGGGGAGATGTTATCTTTCTCGCCTGGTACGCAGGAGGTTCAATCCCGACTCTGACGACACCTGTATATATATGGAGTTTGCATGTTTTCTCCGTGGTAGTCACGTGGATTATTCTCTGGGTTATCCGCTTTTCCCCTCCACATTTAGAAACATGCGCTTAGATTATTTGGCTGCTACTTTAAATTCCTACATGTGACGATATCAGCCACTTCGATGTGTGGCCAGGTCGCTCCTGAAAAAAAGCTCATAGCTCCGTGGACTTTACCTGGTAAAATAAAAATTGTCATTTAGTAGTAGAGTCCGAAAACTCGTCAATAACACTGTGGCCTTAAAATAAAAATAGGCGACGTTTCAGGCAATGGCCCTTCTTTACAGCATAGCCTCCCTGCCTCACCCAGCGTGATGGAGGATAGGTAGATCGGGTGCAGGAAGTGGGAGAGCAGCGCTCCCTGCAGGCCCAGCGTGTTCCAGCGCAGAACCTTGTCGCTGCACGACATCGTGCGAAGACGCTCGCCGCGCTGCACCCCGTCCCACGTGGGCACGATGTCGCTCGACTCCACCGGGATGGTGCCCTCGCCTGTGCCAACAATGTTACCGCCCACCGTCGTTTTCATCATCACAACCACCACGACTGTCATCGCTGCCACGATCATCAACATCATCGCCACCATTATTACCAATTTCTCCATTTCATTTTAATGATAATACAAACCCCAATTAGAATGTGATAATAAGCCCCAAATTAAAATGCTACTGCTTATAGGCCCTGTTTATTCCACTGCCGGCCATCCTCACTCTCAGCTTGCCCTGCGGTTTGTCTGTCGGGTCGGGCATGGGACCCGAAAACTTTAACAGAGGACTAAATCCCAGGATGCACAAATGCTTCAAGGGCACCAGGCGAGCCTTTCCGTTCCGGCCAAGTCAGAACTTTTTGTTGGCTTCATCTTCAGGGCAAGATGTTAAGCGACTCAAGCATTTTATAAGGCCAAGAGGTCACGACCCCGCAGGTTTAGTCGCTCACCGTTCTCGACCTTGGTCCGCAGCTTGCCCTGCTTGTTGTTGTCGAAGATGGGCGCGTGTGTGTGCGGGTCCCCGGCCGCCCCATCGCTGCACGTCTTGTCAAATATTGCGCCGTCTCCGCAAGGTGCAGTGCTGGAATATGAGGGAATGGGTGGGGAGACGGTGGGGGAGGAGGGCGGGGGGTGCGGGATGTGAGAGATGTGAGAGTCGCACATAGCCAGCCGGCCAACTCTAAACTAAACTATTTTTTTTTATTTTACAGGGTAAGGCCCACTGAGCCCATTGGGCTCTTTTTTCTGAAGCGACCAAGCCACAAGTGATAGCTCAACGAAGCGGCTTATCACGTGGAAATTTAAAAGCGGCCAAATATTAAACGCGTGTTGATTCTATACGTTGAAGGGAAAAAAAACGGGAAGATCCAGAGAAAAATACCCGTGACAGGTGTCACGGTTGGGATCGAACCCACAACCTCCTGTATACCGGGTGAGGTAGTTAACATCTCGCCACCGTGGCGCCCTCACAGGTCCCATCCCTTCAAGCCTGCTCTACTCTCACCATTCTGCCACCGCAAAAGTGTAAATACACAATGCAATGAAACTTACATGTCAATCTGCTGCTGGATGACAAGTTATTATTGTTATTAGGAACTTGGGAAAAAAGAGATGATGTGTCAGGTGCACAAAGGGTCGAGCAGAACACGGAGACAAGGTGGAAGCGAAACACCATGTCCTGCAACATGGTACGGAATAGTGTAAGCAGTCAAACTGCCAGACCGCGTTCGTGCTATGTTATGGATAAAGCGAGCACGGTATCCGAGCCACGCACTGTGCCCTGTCGATTGTTAGCTTGTTGTCCTTCCCCCGCACCTCTGATCGGCATGGTTGGCTACGTACGGTGCGAAAGAAGTTCAAAACACACACACATACACACCTACAGAAGGGCAATGTTTACATTTTCATGTTTTAATTGTCGCTCATCCGCTGGCGTGCTCTGCACCCATGCCTCCGTGGCGCGTGGCAGCCGGGCCCCACCTGATGTAGAGGTGGAAGCTAACGTCCGCCCGCACGCGCAGTTTCCCGTCCTCGCCCGGGACCAACACGCCGGGCTGCGCCTCCGCGGGGTCGTAGCTCAGCAGCTGGTGATACAGGAACCTTCCAGAGACAGGAAAGGGAAGAGGAGGGAGCGAAACGGTGCGTCGTGCGTCAAGATACCATCGGAAAAAGCAACCAGGTCGCATCTTGTCGGTACGTATTTAACTTGTAGCTATGCTGCTCGGCACGATAATGAAGCTTTGTTTAATTCAATAATTGCGTGAACAGCAATAATTAGGATAAAATCAGAGGCTATGTACCCCCTTCGAACAATATGTGGGTCGAAGAAATGTTTTGACTTGGATCCATAGAACACCGTAGCTACAGAGCGAGGCATGAACTGTCGACCTTCTGCATATGGCTCACGATCCACGGTCTGGCCACCGCTTACGGGCAAAAGGTCACGCAGTGGCTTTGTTTTCCTGCAGTTCGTGACCAACTGCTCGTGCACGGAAGCAGGGCCCCAAGACAGGAGGGTGGGGATGATGGGGCAGTTCATCACAAACCTTCAATCCAGGGGTGGGTGCATCGGGAAAGGTCGAGAGGGGGGGGGTGGGAGGGAGAGCCTCAGAGGGGGCCACATACAGGGGCCACGCAAGGGGACCCACAGATCGGGCCACGTGCGGCATTTTGTCCCGGCTCTGCCAACACAAAAAAAAAAACTCTCGGCGGCGCAGCGCGACGGAAGTCTCACCGCATAAATCCGCGGCGCGTGATGACCTCGGCGTGGCTGTCGTTCACCGTCTCCCCGCTCAGGCTCAGCTCCTCGCCCTTCACGCAGCGGTTCCCTGGGGTGGGGGGCGGGGGGGGGGGGGAGCAGTGGGAGTGGAGGGGGTGGTGCCACAGCAGAGGGGCGGTCAGAGTGATGGCGGCGCCGCCACTGCTGCTCGGCTTTACCGCGCCAGCGCCCGTTGCGCTCGCGACATCGTACTGTCATCGCGAGTCGCGAACCTCACTGCCGCTGGTGAGGGTTATGAGATTTATTGCATGGGAGGCATGGAATGAATAATAAATGATAACGATGATTAGCGTGAGTAAAATTATTCTTATTGTGGTGCGAGTCACAATGAGAGACTGTGCACATGATAAATTATGCGGAGTAAGAAGTAGTGGTTCACCCCCCCCCCCGCATTCCTGAATAAAATTGAAGCCCTGAATCTCAATAAGCCATAAAATCACATTAACCACCGATATTCCTGGTGGTTAATGTGAGGGTTAACATTCACCACCAGGGCTATGAATAGTGTGAGCATCAAGGTTAGCATTACAGTTGGAATTAGGATAAACAGAATAAGACACCCTATAAGTCGATAAAGGCAACAATGGCAGAACGTTATCTATCCATCTCGTGTCATCGTTATAACTGAGGGTTGGCGTCCACGACAAATGATTCCCACCTTTTGTGATCATTGACATCTGTCACTGAGAAAGCCACGCGTCTAACTCACACTGGCCCACGAAATGATCCTGTTTTCCTTCCTTATCGCCTTCGCTACGCGTCACGCTGTACGTACGTATGTATGTTGAACTTCTTTCGCGCCGTACGTAGCCGACCATGCTAATCGGAGGTGCGGGGAACAGACAACAAACTAAACACGGAAAAAAAATCTCTAGAAATTAGTTTTCAAACTAGATTTAAATGTGCAAAGTTCGCAAGAAATACGTTATCTATCTAGATTTAAAAGTACAAAGCGCCAGTGGCTTCTTAACATCAGAAGAGCATTCCAGACGGCCGCAGAAGCGCATGTGAAAGCACAGCGATGCTAGCCAAAAAGTCGGTGTTCGCGTGATGGTCTATGCTCCTTGATGAGATTAGCAAGACAGTGTGGTTCATCCGTGGCATGAACTTGACAATTAAACTCTCCGCGTGCTTCCTCAGCACAGCAAATCCCTGTTCAATGTGACGGATTTTTGGCTTCAACGCGTTTTTTGCGCTCAATGCGCACCGCGCCCGCTATAACGCGAGGAGGTCAGCGCGTGACCGACTATTCTTCTGAGCGGCGTGAGCGTCAGCGGTGTTGTACGGTGACGCTGGTAGCTGGTACCGTAGTATTTTAGTACCGGTAACTGTAGTAGTGGTACTGTAGTACCGATGCGTGCCGTGATACACGGAGTGCCTCATCTTTTCCCCATTCTTTGTTTCGGCATCTTTGTTGGCGTAGTGTAATCTCACTCCCTTATGTTTGTTCACTCGCCACATCTCTCTCGCTCACACACTTTATATTGGAATAAATGGTTCGTCATGCAAAGCATATTTATAGTGTACTGTACCGTCAAATAAAAACAGTGATAAAATTACGGGCTGGAACGGCACCCCCACATTTACCATTATTCTTTATGGGAAAATTACTCTTCATGCTAAATGCGAATTTGCTTTGTGTGGCAATTTTCAGGAATGCAAACCCCTGCGGTAAGTGACCAATTTCTGTATATCACGGTGGCGAGATGTTAACTACCTCGCCTGATATACAGGAGGTCGTGGGTCCGATCCCAACCCTGACGCCCGCATATTTGGAGTTTGCATGTTCACCCTCCCCGTGGTCATGTGGATTTTTCTCCGGGTCATCCGTGTTTTTCCCTCCCACATTTAAAATCAACATCACGCATTTCGAGTATTTGGCTGCTAGAAATTCCCACGCGATAAGCCGCTTCGTTAGGCTATCTGAAAAAAAGAGCTGTATAGCTCAGTGGGCCTGACCTGGTAAAAAAAAAAAAAAAAATTTTGGAAACAAAAAAAATCGCCGGTGTCCACCTGTGCCGAAACTGACGACTCTGCCACGATCGTCGTTGCCTTCCTTCATCACAATCGCCGCCAGGATCTTGCGACCCGTGAGCAGGTGCTGGCACGCGCTTGTCATGCTGTTGAACGCCTGGTGGCTGAGCAGCGCGATTTCGTCTTCGAAGGTGCGTTCGCCGGAGTAGTTCTGCCATTCGCGCGCACATTGATGACAGGGTCACGCAATAAATGGCATCTACCCACAATGACAAGCTATCTCGAGATATGAATAGGCACGTAAACAATGCGTTAATTTAATTAATCCCTTAAAATGTATTCGAATGCTGATGATACGCGTGTTCAATCATGCATGTAGAAACTGATTATTTGCACTTGGTTAAGAATGTAACATCAGGCTAACGGAGGACAAATGAGACTGAACAAACAGGGCAAATAACGCAATGTAGCTGGCACGATCCGCGCGTGGGGACAGACCAGTGCGGACGCCATCGGGTCAGACAGGCCCAGGGAGGCCCCGTCGGTCAGCAGAGACCTCAGCACCGCCTCGGCCACGTCCGTCTTCGCTTGTTTTTTGCTGTTGCTCGTCACGGGCGGGAAGACGCAGCCTCCAACTTTAGCCTGCATCACGAACCTGCGGCGCACGAAGACAAAGATCCCCCGTGTAGCCTTAACAGACTGTTGGGGCAGGTGCTGTTAGCGAGTAGCACCTATGAAGGCCGGGATGGCACAGGAGGGGGAGGTTGGTTAACACCACGCCCGGCCGCCATTCGTCTCCCGAGTGGCGATTTTTACACACCTCACCAGGTACTCATTTGTTGGCTGTGAGCGGGATACAAACATGGGTCGCCAGGTTCGGAGCGCAGCGTGCTAACCGCTACGCTATCGCTCCCCACACACAAACACAGACAAGTGCTGTTGGCGTTGTGCCGGATTGTTATTCTTTTTACGGCACATCGCAGGAGATAGTGTGGCCAGCACCAACGCCCGGCCGCATTTGTCTCCCCTGTGATGACGTTTACACACCACACCAGGTGTTCATTAAAAACCGAGTTTGCATAGACGAGGCCCAGGGCGGGTTCTGATATCGTCACTGATATTAGCCGTGGCTGAAAATTGAACTCGGTGACTGGGTTTGTAATACAGTGAGCTGACCACTATACCATCCCTTGCCACACACTAACCCATGCAAACATATACACCGCCATTAGAGATTAAATTACTCATTATGGACAAGCAAGGTGTTGTCATATTCTTGGTTCTTTCGGTAAAGTCACGTAGATAGAAAATAAAATGACCGCTGGTGTTGCAATCGAAACGTCGTGGGTTTTTGCTTTTATTTAATAAAAAATGTAGCATTTTTTTTTTAATCTACGTGACTTTACCGAAAGAACCAACAATATGAATTCCTGCAGTCACGAAAGTTTTAAGTCAAAATTGAAAGTTTTAAGTCAAAATTGAAGGTGTTGTCAATTGCACAAATAGACTGTAAGTGCAGCTCAATCTGAAATGTTATTTATTTTAGCCTCTGTGTAGAGGACAGAGAAGTGTGACAGTCAAACGATCTTGCTGTGGTTTTCACACCTGATGATGATTGCTTGTGTTGCAGTCGAAACATCGTGAGAATTTTATTGTTTTATATTTTTATTATTTTATTGTTTCCCTTCTACGTGACTTTACCGAAAGAACCAAGAATATGAATCCCTGCAGTCATGAAAGCTTTAAATAAAAAAAAAGATCACAAGAGAATTAAGAAGATACTAATACAAAGATACTGATAAAAACATTTTACGTCCAATTTAATCATAATAAAAACACACGCGTGTGTGATTATACTTGTAACGTACATGTAAAAAAAAGCATCGTGCTTGTAAAATTCTGTCCGTTACCATGCCACCGAGATGAGATGGAACATGGCGTAGCGCAAAGCATTTTCCAATGACGCATGAATTCTTTTTTTACAAAGGACAAAAAAATAATATCGAAGGAAAACAAAACAAACGACAAAGCCGTTATATAAACAGACCCTGTCTGCCTTCACAGGTGACGCTGCCAAATCTCTACCCCAGTAATCCATGATCCTTGTCCGACCTCAACGCATTTAGAAAAGCCAGCTGTGATTGCGCGATGGATTGGCTGGTGCCAGTCACGCACATGGGCATGTGCAGCCCTTTTGTCACACCAATGCTGGCCGTGGGTATCCCCCAATGCCGTGCGGTTCGTGATGGTTATTTGATAAGTCGGGCAAGCCCCCCTCCCCGACTTACGAACGGGTTTCTTTCCAGAGAACCGTTCGCAAGTCGATTTGTTCGTATCTCGGAACTCACGAATTGCACTGCATGTAATTGTACATAACGGTCAATGTTATAAAATGTGTTACAGTTCAACAAAAAATGCAGCCATTGTTAAAACTCTCAAACAAGACGAAATATTGTACATTTGCATGTAATACTGTAATACTGCACAGTAAATAATAGTAACACGAAGAGAACCAAAGAAAATCAGTTTAATTTTTCCTTGAGTCCTGATGCTGGATCAGCATAAGGCTAAGCAGCACAAGACACAGATCCTAGTCCTCAAGCCATGCAATCAAACTATTACAATTTCATTGATAACACCGCTCCTTTGCAGTGTAATTATGGTCGACTTCATAGGCGTTGAGCCCTTCGCATGTTCGACAATTCAAGCCTTGTCTTCTATTATCGTTCTTACGGTCGACCGGCCAAGGCTTAATGCACGACCGATGCTCGTGGGAGTTTCACCTTTCTCAGACCGCTTTATTACGTTCAGTTTAATCCCCATAGTGTCTTGGTGACTGCCTGTGGTTCATCACGTTGGTAGTCGCGGGTTGGTGAAGGCGGAGAGGACAGACGTGTCAGGTGGGTAAGCGGTAGATCAAACAGCTCGCAAGCGGAAAGGTTCTGCGTTCAATCCTGGTTAGGGGGTTGACTCAGCCAATCATTCATTTGGGATCGATAAAATAAATACCACTTTGTGGGGATGTCAACAATAGTTTCCCTATGGATAGACTTATCCCTGCCAACAGTAGACAAGCACCACCCAGAAATGCTCATTTGAGAGATACAAAAAAAATCACTGACGACAGACGAGATGGCACAAAAGTCGAATTCAGCATTGGATCTTTTTTTGTTACACGACCCAGCGCCGAAACAGCCACAGCACAACCGCCGCCGCTGAACGCTACTACCCCGCATCGCAAGCAGCACCTGGGGTCGTGCGGGGGTCCATACTGCGCCACCATGGTGAAGTCGCAGGCGAAGCCTTTGGCTTGGGCCAGCTCGAGGAGGGTGCTCACGGGGTTCTTGTTGGTCATGAGGAGGATGTCCCTCACCGATGCGCCCCCCGCCACGTCGCTCGCGAACGTGCAGGGAGCGGTTTTGCCGGTAGGCAACGTGCACGCGGCATCACCGCTCACAGGGAATCGCAACGTCGCCTCGGCCCCGCCGCACAAGTTGCGCTGCAAAAAAACACGCACGCGGATACATGGCACAGGATGGCAGAGACGCACGCATGACACCGCGAGAGGCACGTGGCGGGGGGGGGGGGGGGGGGGTGGCGTGCGCAGATGCGCGTAGTACGTAAAGAGGGACGCAGAGGGGTACAGGTGCACACAAGTGTGCACGCAAAGGTGCACACGGGCACACAGGTGAGCATAGGTGCAGTGAAGCTGTAAAAGACAGCTGCAGGGAAACATCAGGGAGAGGACGGAGATACACCACGGCATGCACGTGAGACTGGGAAACCAGGCAGAGAACCGGAGAGAAGAGAGAGCTAATTAGAAAGGACACACGGATGAGTCCAGACATGCATGCGGATACTTTTATGAACAAAAGGACACGTACTAAGAGACGCACAGAGGAGCACAAGGATTCGCGCAGACACCCACAGGCATATACACATTTACACAGACACACACGGATGCACACGGATACATGTGGACACATACCGTAGAGGTGCACACATATACGCACGGACAAACAGGTAACCACAGATACAGACATGCGCAAGACCCACCGACGTGTGCAAAGACACACATACAAGAACAAGCAGTGGCATAATCACACCGGTAATGTAACGATTCACCTCCAACCTCGAAATCAGCGACCATGTCTACAGCTCTACATTTTCATAACTTCGAAGTGTTATGCAAAACTAATTATTACTGGCCAAGACTAATTAGAGAATCACTCAAAATTGAGAAAAATATAAATAATTTTGACCGCTCTTATAGCTACAGACTTAGCACAGCCTTGAAGCGTATTATTAAGGAATACACAATACATATTGCAATTCCTTATAGAGGAGTCACATGCTAATTGGCCAATTACTGATCTATTACATAATTTCAATACCCCCCCCCACCTCCGCCTCTGATCTCGAAACCTGATGGGGTTTAACAATGATGATGTCATCCTGCACTACTTAAGACCGGAAGCAGGTGGATGGCTTCACTATTCTGGCAAATCGCCCAAAGATGCTGGATGTAATTACCAGCGAAACGTCGTACTCAAATTCTAAATGTGGTGGATTCACTCTTCAAACACACCGGTGGGCTGAATAAGTAACTAATTGGCGTTTTGTTAACGTGACACATTTTTAACTGATTGGCCGTGTTGGGTGGTAGTGGGCTGCGACACATTTAGAATAACGCTATCTAACCCAAAAACCTTTATTATGAATAATACTGGTCGTGAAAGCCTACGTGTTAAACTGATCTCTCCATGTGTTGCACTATATCTCTCTGTCTCTAGAGGCCCCTCTTGCCTCTGTGAAGAGGCTGCTGTCTCCATTGAGCCTCCCCTTTCTGTCTCCTCCCTAAAAATATATATATATATAAAAAAGTAAAAAAATTGTCTGTTTGTGGGTTTGTGTTTGGCTTTGTGAGTGTTCGCGCGCTTGTGAAGGATTTGGCTCTCCAACGGTGGGTTTTACGTTAAATAAAAATAGCCAGGTACCAGGCCGTAAGCCCCGCTGTGAGCAAGCGCTATTCCTTTTTCACATCCATCAACTTTGAATTAGTTGAATTAGTGATTTAGTGCGATTTTTGCATGCTATCTCTTTATTTATGACGCGTGCACAGCCATACCAACTCACGCGCCTTTGGTGGAGGGGGGAGTGAGAGGGACATTTTCTTTTGCGTTAAAAATGCTATAAAAATACACTAAACGCTGAGCTGTAATCTTCACTGGATGATGTCCCCCCCACCCCGATGCGTGCAGTTACTACTATATACAGTCGCTAGATGCTACCACCATAGGCCGTAGATATTACTGCAGAGCGGCCGGGGAGATCGTGGCTGGGAGGGGGTTGTCAGGGGAAGCAGCCCAGCCTGCCAAGCTGCCACCTCAGCCGGCTGGACAATCTAGGCGAGGCCGGAGGCTCTGCACGGGACTAGTCCTCACCACGCCACTCTTGTCAGGTGAGTACTTTGAACTATAGAGTCGATAAATACTGCTATAGAGTCAGCATGTACTACTGTAGTGATAGCAGGTACCACCACAGTCGGTATGCACTGCTGTAATCATAGCAGGTACCACCACAGTCAGTATGCACTGCTGTAATCATAGCAGGTACCACCACAGTCAGTACGCACTGCTGTTCGATTTTTCAGAGTAGTTTGAAATAGTTTTAAGACCCTGGCAATGCCGGGTACTTCCCGCTAGTATATGATATGTCTTTCCACCCACCTCTAAAAGGTCGTACACTGGGTTAAACAGGGCTGCGGCCGAACAGAAAAGGGGTGGGTGGGGGGGGTGCCGTGCGATCACCCCGGTCCTCACCTTGTCCTTGTGTAGGGCCTGCAGGGCGTTCAGCGCGGCCATCTGCTTCGCCTGCTTTTTGCTGGAGGCCTCAGCAGCACCGTACGAAACGTTTCCCAGCACCGCCTGCATGCGGAACCTGCGCCACAGAGAGACGAGCAGGCTCTCCTGTTGTCTGTCCACGAGCCCGCACGCACGTGAGCACGAAAACATGGGCGCACGGATGCCAGCGGGTACGCGAGTACATACGGAGTGAAGCCAGGCTGCAGGAGATGGGACTCTTGCCCGGGCTAGCCACTGAATTGGATGATGGAGGGCGAGAAAGAGACCGGCAGGGAGAGAGATCAAGGAGGACGGCCGAGATAGACAGGAACAGGGAGTGACGGAGTAAGGGCAGATACAAATTTGTAAGAGTAGAAGACACGGACTGAGACTAGGGTGAAGGATAGAGATAAAAGGAATACTTACTGAGAGGGGAAGGCAGTTAAATGAAAGACAGGGATGGAGATGGAGATAAATGCAGGAAAACAAAGAGACGGGACAGCCAAGGACAGGGATTGAAGTATTGGGAGAGAGGACAGTGACAGACAGTTATCCTGGCAGAGACAACTACTGGGAGATTGATAAACAAGGCAGCAACGATAGACTCAAGAGACTGGGTAAATTATAGAATGCACGACCGAGAGATGATGCAGAGATACTGAGAGAAGCTGTAAAAGACAGCTGCAGGGAAACATCAGGGACAGGACGGAGATACACCACGGCATGCACGTGAGACTGGGACACCAGGCAGAGAACCGGAGAGAAGAGAGAGCTAATTAGAAAGGGCAGACACAGAAAAAGGAGTAAAAATCACAGAAAGGAGTTGAGAGACAGGACAGTCAAACTGACACATACAGACTTGGAAAAAACGCATTCAAAGAGAGGGACAAAGATACTCAAAGACAGAATGGAATTCTAGCAGGGATTTTAGGTAACAAAAGGCTGATTGACAGGCGGTGCAATACAAAATAGGTCTACTGAGATTAGCTCCCCACATAGCGTAGAGGCTGCTGTGGCAAGTGCTGTTTGGGAGCATCTATTAAGGCCGCCATTGGCACAAGAGAGGGGTGGGTGGCCAGCACCACGTCCTGCCACCTCTGTCTCCCCAGCGCTGAAATTCACGCACCGCACCAGCTACTCGTATTAAGGCCGAGTTGACTGAGAGGAGGCCCAGGAACAATTTAAATATTCGCCGCTCTTCTTGGTCATGAGCAGCAATCGACCTCGGGTCACCTGATTTATAGCACAGCGTCATTGAAAACAAGTGAGACGCAACAAAAGACAAAGGTCCCCCGTATAGCTTTAACAGCCTGTTGGGGCAAGTGCTGTTAGCGAGCACTTATGAAGGCCGGCATGGCACACGAGGTGGGTAGCCAGCACCGCTACCGCTCCACACAAACACAAACCCCGGGCGGTACCGTGGGTCGTGCGCCGGCCCCGAGCTGCTCAGCAGGTTGAAGTTGCACAGCTGGCCCGTGGTGCTCGCCAGCTCCATGAGCTCGCTCACGGGCGTCTTCTCCGTCACCACGGAGCTCAGCGGGGCCCAGGCTCCCCACGGGGGGCCCGCCGGCACGGGCTGAGTCCCCACGCCCTGCACGCGACGCATCCACACAGCCCCGTGTGTTGGCTTGCGCGTAAGCTCCACCTCCCTAGTGGCCGCAGCTCACGGCGTTGACCGCTACATATGCATGAGCCACACATCCCCACGCGTACTCACAGTCACAAAATGCGTAAAACCCTCCCGAGGATGTGGCTGCTGACATACTGCCTCCCCGGTTTTTCTGTCTGTCCCACCGTGCTCGTAGATATTATATTCCTCAACAATATAGCTCCAAGTGTTCACACTTACTTAGGCATTATGCGCTCCTCACTATTGGCTGTGGCTAAATTCAAAGCTACATATTCATTAGCAGCACAGTCCCCGTGTACTTCCCGCTAGTATATGACATTTCTTTCCACCCACCTCTAAACGGACGTACACTGGGTTAAACAGGGATGCGGCCGAACAAAAAAGGGGTGGGTGGGGGGGTGCCATGCAATCACCCCGGCCCTCACCTTGTTCTTTTGTATGGCCTGCAGGGCGTTCAGCGCAGCCATCTGCTTCACCTGCTTTTTGCTGGAGGCCTCAGCGACACTGTACGAAACGTCTCCCAGCACCGCCTGCATGCGGAACCTGCGCCACAGAGAGATGAGCAGGCTCTCCTATTGTCTGTCCACGAGCCCGCACGCACGTGAGCATGAACACACAGGCGCACGGATGCCAGCGGGTACGCGAGTACATACGGAGTGAAGCCGGGCTGCAGGAGATGGGACTCTTGCCCGGGCTAGCCACTGAATTGTATGATGGAGGGCGAGAAAGAGACCGGCAGGGAGAGAGATCAAGGAGGACGGCCGAGATAGACAGGAACAGGGAGTGACGGAGTCAGGGCAGAGACAAAACTGTAAGAGTAGAAGACACGGACTGAGACTAGGGTGAAGGATAGAGATAAAAGGAATACTTAGTGAGAGGGGAAGGCAGTTAAATTAAAGACAGGGATGGAGATAAATGCAGGAAAACAAAGAGACAAGACAGTCAAGGACAGGGAATGAAGTATTGGGAGAGAGGACAGTGACAGACAGTTATCCTGGCAGAGACAACTACTGGGAGATTGATAAACAAGGCAGCAACGATAGACTCAAGAGACTGGGTAGATTATAGAATGCACGACTGAGAGATGAGGCAGAGATACTGAGCGAAGACAAAGAGTTACTGAGTGACAAGACAGTGAGTCTGAGAGACGAAGCTGTAAAAGACAGCTGCAGGGAAACATCAGGGACAGGACGGAGATACACCACGGCATGCACGTGAGGCTGGGACACCAGGCAGAGAATCGGAGAGAAGAGAGAGCTAATTAGAAAGGGCAGACACAGAAAAGGGAGTCAAAATCACAGAAAGGAGTTGAGAGACAGGACAGTCAAACTGACACATGCAGACTTGGAAAAAAGGCATACAAAGAGAGGGACAAAGATACTCAAAGACAGAATGGAAATTCTAGCAGGGAATTTAGGTAACAAAAGGCTGATCGACAGGCGGTGCAATACAAAATAGGTCTACTGAGATCAGCTCCCCACATAGCGTACAGAGGCTGTTGTGGCAAGTGCTGTTTGCGAGCATCTATTAAGGCCGCCATTGGCACACGAGAGGGGTGGGTGGCCAGCACCACGTCCTCCTACCTTTGTCTCCCCAGCGCTGAAGTTCAGGCACCGCACCAGCTAGTCGTATTAAGGCCGAGTCGACTGAGAAGAGGCCCAGGAACAATTTAAATATTCGCCGCTCTTCTTGGTCATGAGCAGCAATCGACCTCGGGTCACCTGATTTATAGCACAGCGCATTGAACACAAGTGAGACGCAACAAAAGACAAAGGTCCCCCGTATAGCTTTAACAGCCTGTTGGGGCAAGTGCTGTTAGCGAGCACTTATGAAGGCCGGCATGGCACACGAGGTGGGTAGCCAGCACCGCTACCGCTCCACACAAACACAAACCCCGGGCGGTACCGTGGGTCGTGCGCCGGCCCCGAGCTGCTCAGCAGGTTGAAGCTGCACAGCTGGCCCTTGGTGCTCGCCAGCTCCATGAGCTCGCTCACGGGCGTCTTCTCCGTCAACACGGAGCTCAGCGGGGCCAAGGCTCCCCACGGGGGGCCCACCGGCACGAGCTGAGTCCCCACGCCCTGCACGCGACGCATCCACACAGCCCCGTGTGTTGGCTTGCGCGTAAGCTCCACCTCCCTAGTGGCCGCAGCTCACGGCGTTGACTGCTACATATGCATGAGCCACACATCCCCACGCGTACTCACAGTCACAAAATGCGTAAAACCCTCCCGAGGTTGTGGCTGCTGACGTACTGCCTCCCCGGTCTTTCTGCCTGTCCCACCGTGCTCATAGATATTATATTCCTTAGCCATATAGCTCCAAGTGTTTACACGTACTTAGGCATTATGCGCTCCTCACTATTGGCTGTGGCTAAAATCACAGCTACATATTCATTAGCCGCACAGTTCCCGTGTACTCGCGATCGCTTAAATACACGAGCCCCTTCTCACTATTGGTCCACAGCCCTGTGCTCACAGCAACACATTCATTAGCCGTGCAGTCTCCGTGTGTTCAGACTCGCTTAAATACACGAGCCCCTTCTCACTATTGGTCCACAGCCCTGTGTTCACAGCAACATATTCATTAGCCGCACAGCGTGTACTCACACTCGGTTATGCGTTAAGCTTTCCTCGGGGCCCACAGTGTGTACAGTCGCACACTCATTAGCATATCTATTAGGTAAGGGGCCATCCATTTAGTACATACGCATTGCGTACGCTTGCGTATGGGGGGGGTCTATGTACGTATACATAGGAAACTGCGGGGGGGGGGGGGAGGAGTGAAGCCTCGATGATAATTTGTCTACATTGGCCTTCAAATGAGCCATAGTTCAGTTTCTTCAGCTGTGAGACAGGTACTGCCGGGAGAGGTAGGACTGTGGGAGAGGTGATACTTGTGTGCCACCATACCCCTGAGTGCAGCTATCACGCAGCTCAGCAAACATCAGTGGCCAAGGTACACAACTTAATTATTTAATGCAGCCAGCTTTGGACTATCTCTTTGCTTAAACACGTTAATAATATTAATCCTTGATTCGGGGTGGGGGGGGGCGTCAAGCATATGTACGCAGGTGGGGGGGGGGGGGTGTAAAAAGTACGTGTGCGTACAGGGAGGGGTAGGGGTCAAGTTTTGACAGATTTTTGCGTATGTACTAAATGGATGGCCCCTAAGTATTTCCGCTCATTCGTAGCGGCGACAATCTGGGGAGTCGTCTGATCTCTGCACTGTGTCCACTGTGTACTTTGTCGTATGCAGGGTTTCTAGTTTGCTCAGTAGTTTTGATTGCTCCCTTACCCCAAATGTAACCTTAACCCTTTCCCATTCCGTTGACACACGTACGTGTACATCATCAGTTTTTTTTTCCGATTCTGTTTCGATTACGTACACGTGTAGTGACTGTGCTTGTCACTGTATGGTGCCGGGGCTTGTGAAGCCATGGCCGTTAATGTGTTGTCATTACAGGCAGCCCGGGTTACGGGAAGCAATACCGACCCTAGCGGGGTTGGGGTGAGCGCTGGTTAGCGCCGAGGCACCCCGAGCAGTGTGCGGTGCGGGCTCCCGGTGAGGGAGCGAGAGGGAGCGTCATCCAGTCAGGGTTAGCTTGGGGCATAATACTCTGGTTGACCTGCTGTCAAGTGACTGGACGATACTGGAGGGGGGCCACCGGTGGGCGGGGGCCGTGGGGTGGTCACGTGGTCCAAAGGAGCTCTCGGGAACCTTCGAGAAGGAGCTCGAGAGGCCTGAAAGGTGGGCGGGGTGAAGGGCGGAGCCAGCCCCAGCCCGGGAGCATATAACGAGGGCTCCGTGAGGAGCTTGGGGTTCTTCGTGTGCTGGTGTTACGAAGATCCACGTCGGGGAGAAGAAGCCTCTAGCCACGCGGTCCGGGACCCCGTTTGTGGTCCGAACCGTGTCTAGTTCTGCCGTAGCGTGCCGACGTGGCGGGTGGTCGGAGGCGGACGCGTTGAAGGCGCTCCCCGCCGCCCTTGAAGATGATGCTTTAGCGGCTTTCCTCACCATCCTGTTGTCCAAGAGGTCCACCCTCACGCAGGTGTTTGACCAGACGGCCGCCACTTTTGAGCTTCCGCTGAACACCCATCAGAAGTTCGCTGTGAGGCGGAGAGGGGATGGTGAATCGGCCATCACTTACAGGAGTGCGCTTTTAGCACTTGGCATAGGCCGCGTTTTTGCGAATGGATCACGATGGCCTTGACGCCTTGGTCCTCGAGAAAATGTTGGAGCTCGCCAAGGATCTCCGCACTGTGCTTCCCGCCGAGGACGGGGAGTTGTCTTCGCAAGATTGCCAAGTGTATACAGGCGCAGCAGACCCTGCAGCATGACAGGGTGTTGGTGCCGTGCTCTGCGGACGGAGAGCCTGCGTCCGCGTGTTCGCTGCATCAGCGGGGCGCCAATCGTCGGGGTGACAGAGATCGGTGGCGGGATGACCGGCGGCGGGCAAGGTCTGCTTCGTCCCGTTCCAGCGACGGACGGGTCACCTGCTACAACTGCGGCCTGCCGGGGCACGTTCCTCGACGGCGGGCCCTGGGACGTCCGCCTTCCTACGACTCCATATCCCCTAAGGCGAGTCGCGGCGCACCTCACACTCGGCCCCAGGGTTCCCTTCATTCATCCGGGGGGGTCCGATTTGCGGCGGGGTCGCGCGCGGGTTCGGGGGGAGTCGGGGTGTATTCGCGACGCATGGCCGCTCCGACCAGACCAGTGGTCGGAGCTGGTGGGTCGCGTGGTCGCGGTGACCGTGGGATCGTCGGTTGTGCTTGGGTTCATTGAGGGGGTTGGGGTGCGCACGCTTGTAGATTCCGGTGCGTCTTAGACCATTATCTCCGAGCTAATCTATAACATTTTGCCCCCCCGGTGTCGGGTTTTGGAGCCGGTGGATGCTCCGTGTTTCGCCGCTATCGGCGGATCGTTGGGAATTATCGGTCGGATCTCCATTGCGTTGCGTACTGCCGATGTCCAATTGTTAGGCCATGTATTAGTTTCCACGGCCCTGGCTGTCCCCTGCTTGCTGGGGACTGATTTTCTCGGCAAGATGCCCCTGAAAATTCGTATCGACCAGGGCTGTTTGGAGTTGCCGTCGGGACGGCGTATGGCTTTTCTTCCGTCCCAGACTCGCATGTATTCTGCTAATGCCACGGTACAGGCACTTGCGTGCCGCACGGTACGGATCCCGCCCAGTGCGCAAATGCTGGTGCCTTGCTTGATGCGCGCACTGTGGGGGATGGAATTGTACTGGGTCCCTCGAATAAGTTCAGTCGGGGTATGTCGCTCGTTGCGGCACAGACGCTGGTCTCCCAGGACCAGCCACCGTTTATTCAAGTCGTTAATGCCGTGATCGCTCAAGAGTCCCCGGCGTGTCCGAAAGCGGATGTCGTGGGCAACGTCGGGGTCGGCGTTCGCTCTCACGGACCTCCGGTGGTTGATGAGGCATGGATTGATAAACTGTGTTCGGAATGCGGCGATTTGTCCGCGGGCCAAAAAGCTGAGAGCGCTCCTATGGGAATTTTCTGATATTTTTAGTAAGTCAAAATTTGATATCGGTCGGACGTCTCTGTTGAGCCACCATATTGACACGGGACATGCCGCCCCCATTCGGCAGAATCCTTACCGCCCGAGTCCGGCTGAAAAGGACCATGTTCGTGCGGTGGTGGATGAAATGTTGGCTGTGGATATCATTTCGCCGTCCAATCGTCCTTGTTAAGAAGCACGAAGGCAGTCTGCGTTTCTGTGTCAATTTCCAAAAACTGAACAAAGTTTCGGTCGCGGATGCCTACCCCCTGCTTCGCATGGACAATTCGTTGGACGCTCTAGCGGGCGCGTGGTTCTTTTCAACCCTCGACCTTTTGTCGGATTTTGGCAGTTGCCGCTTGACGGCTTTTCGGACACCCCAAGGGCTGCTCGAGTTTAACCGGCTTCCGATGGGGCTCCATTCCGCGCCTGACACTTTTCAAAGGATGATGGAATTGGTTTTGGCGGGCCTCCAGTGGGAATCGTGTCTAATCTACTTGGATGACGTAATCATTTTTGGCCGCATGTTTGATGAACATTTGGATCGCCTGCGGGCTGCTTTCGTTAAAATGCGCGTGGCCGACTTGAATTCAAGCCCCAAAAATGTCATCTGCTCCAAAAATCTGTTCGTTACTTGGGCCACATAGTCAGAGAATCGGGTATCGTGACAAACCACGAGAAAACTGCTTGCATTCGGACGTGGCCGACCCCCACCTCGGCTAGTGAGGTGTGCTGTTTTATCGGCTTCGCCTCTTATTATCGCCGATTTGTTGCGGGGTTCACGTCCATAACTAAACCTCTCCACGGTCTGACGGCTAAGGGCCCCAAATTTAATTGGGGGGAGGTGGAGGAGGCTGCGTTCCACTCCATTCGCGATGGGCTTGTTAACGCCCCTCCCCTGCGTTATCCCGACTTTCGTTGCCATTCATTTTGGACACGGATGCCAGTAATACCGGCATTGGTGCCATGTTATCCCAAGTCGTAAATGGTGTGGAGCACGTGGCTGCGTATGGCAGTAGGGTGCTGTCCCTGGCGGAACAGTGGTACTGCGTCACACGCCGGGAGCTGTTGCCCATTGTCGTGTTTGTGCAGCAACATCGGCCGTATTTGTACGGGCGGCACTTCGAAGTGCGCTCAGATCACGCGGCGCTCCAGTACGCGTTGCGTGTGGACCGGCCCTCTGGTAAATTGTCGCGCTGGCTTGAAATCCTGCAGGATTTTTTATTCAATGTCCCGTATCGTAAGGGTTCTCGCCACACGAACGCCGATGCCCTATCGCGATTGCCGGCGCCCGGAGAGTGCGGGTGTTTTTCTGGTTCGGGTCGTTGTCGGCCGTGTGGCTCAACCTCCCCTCTCGTTGTGTCTGCCGCGAGCGCGATGCGGGGGATGTGCGACGTTCCTGTTGCGCGTGATGCAACTTTGGGTCTGGACTATGAGGTATGGGAACGTCTACAGGCAGGGGATTAGTCCCTCTTTAAGTCGCGCCGGCGTGTCAGGGTGACCGCCGATGGTGCGGCACCACGAGGTGGAGGATTGCGCCGTTATGCTATTGTTGTCCCTACCGCCCCACGGGGCGAGGTTGTGTGGGCTGTGCATAATCGGCTGTTGCACCTCGGAGTGCAGAAGATGCTGGCCGCGCTTAAAATTTATTTTTATTGGCCGGCCATGGTGTCACGGGTAAATGAAATTGATGCCGTTGATGTTCTCGGGCCGTTTCCCGCTTCGGCACGGGGCAACAAATACTTACTCTTGAGGTTATTTCTCACGCTTGCCTATGGCTTGGCCGCTCCCAAATCAGTCGGCTGTTGCTATCACCGAGGCATTCCTCAATGGCTATGTCCTGGATAAGGGGGCTCCTGAGCGCCTCTTAATAAATCAGGGAAAATGTTTTCATCCAAGCTGCTGCGGGAGGTTTGCGACCTGCTGGGTACATAAAAAGGTTGGGATTTGCATATCCCTGCGCTTCTTGCCGCTTATAGGATGACCCCTCTTGCCACTTATAGGATGACCCCTCACACGTCCACCGGCTACTCTCCCTTTTTGATGTATGGGAGAGAGTATGATACTCCCATCGATGTCCAGTTGCAGGCCGAGCCCGCCCCGAAGGTGTCCAAAATTTCTGACACGATTCGGTTCACGATGGGTAAACTCACTGAGGCGCGGGAAGCCGCCAGTGTTAACTCTCGGGCCAGGTAGCTGGCCAACGAGCGGTTCAAAGGTGCCCGCATTTCCTTGTGCGATTGGTCGCCGGGGGACAGAACCTGGCTGCATTGCCCGCAGGTGCCGGTGGGCACATCACCTAAATTGCTAAAACCTTGGAGGGGGCTGGTTGATGTCGTTCGGGTCGTGTGGCCGCAGTGTGTACAGGTTTCGTATGGAAAGTGGAGCTGGTTTGTGCACCCCTCTCGCCTGAAACCATTCATCACTCCGTGTGAGTTTTTTTCATCTTCATATCGCAGGGGCTGCGTGTCGGGTGTGCCCGACGAGCTGGGGAGTGCGTCTGCCGATGCGGGTCCTCAGCAGAGTGTTTCTGTTCCGCCCCCAGGCGCCGCGCAACTGATGCCTCGCACGTGGCCGCTCGTGATGGCCTCACGTGCTCAGAAGGCTAAGAACCCAACGACCCGGCCTACTGCTCGTCATGAAGAGCCGGCTTCGTCGGGTCGATTTCTTGCCCTTTCCCGGCCCTCCCAAGGCGGACTAGCCCAATCCGTGTGGAGGACCGGCGTCACGAACTCGTTCAAAGACTCAATTTGTGTGATTCCGCGCATTGCACCCTCCCACACCGTCATGGGCTGTCACACTCACGTGAGTCGTGGCGAGTATTTGTATGCTGCTCGCCATCGAGCTCACGGGCGTTGTTACACGTTGTGGGTGGGAGATGCTGATTGTGGGGATCTTGTGCGCCGTGGTTGTCGGTTCGATCGGTCGTTTTTTTTGTGTTTTGGTATATATTGTACAGTTGGGTTGGGTAATTTATTGCTTTGTTATGTTGTTGGAGCACACTTGGTGTTTGTTCTGTTATTTATATGTCGGTTGCTTGCTTTGGGGGGAGTTGGCAGCCGGGACGGCTGGAAGCTACGAAGAGGGGGGGGGTGATGTAGTGACTGTCCTTGTCACTGTATGGTGCCGGGGCTTGTGAAGCCACGGCCGGTAACGTGTTGTCATTACGGGCAGCCTGGGTTACGAGATGCAGTACCGACCCTAGCGGGGTTGGGGTGAGCGCTGGTTAGCGCCGAGGCACCGCGAGCAGCGTGCGGTGCGGGCTCCCGGTGAGGGAGCGAGAGGGAGCGTCAGCCAGCCAGGGTTACCTTGGGGCATGATACTCTGGTTGAGCTGCTGTCACGTGACCGGACAATACTGGAGGGGGGCCACCGGTGGACGTGGGCCGTGGGGCGTACACGTGGTCCAAAGGAGCTCTCGAGAATCTTCGAGAAGGAGCTCGAGAGGCCTGGAAGGTGGGCGGGGTGAAGGGCGGAGCCAGCCCCAGCCCGGGAGCTTATGACGAGGGCTCCGTGAGGAGCTCGGGGTTCTTCGTGTGCTGGTGTTACGAAGATCCACGTCGGGGAGAAGAAGCCTCTAGCCACGCGGTCCGGGACCCCGTTTGTGGTCCGGGCCGGGATAGCAAACCGTGTCTAGTTCTGCCGTAGCGTGGTTAGATGGGCATTGGAGACCCGAGTGTAGATCGTGTTGTGTTACGTTAATCGGAATAGTGTTGCTCCCAAGATAACGTCTGCGACTCAGTTGGACTCACTACACACGTGTACGGCAGGGTTCATTCGGATCGGAAGAAAAACTGAAATAAATTAACTTTATCAGTACGGAGGCTCCCACAAGGCCATGCGGGAGGGCTTCTGGGACAGATTGGCACCAGCTATCATAGAGTGGGGTCGTGTCGCTATGGTTCTGTGCGGTGAGTACGATGTCTTTAAAAACAGCAGCGCCGCATCCCTCTAAAGAAAATTTACACTGAAACGCTTCCACGTTCTGAGATTCGGAGGTGAACGAGACACCCACCCTGCAACTTGCAGGCATCTCGGAACGGGAAAAGGGTTAAAATACCACCCATAAGTATCGTCTGGGGTCGGAAGGTGAACAGCACGTGGTGTGTTGTGACGTCACAGATATCACCATGCTTACCAAGAATATAAGATATCACCATGCTTACGTTTGTACGAACGATTTGTATTTAGATTCCAGACATAAGTGAGTAGGCGTACGCCAGCAGTCACCAATAACAACCGCCATTCGCCACAAAGTGGCAGTGACGTCACCACAGCGCTTGTGCTAGGCTCGGTGCACTTTGAGGCCACGTCAAGTGTTGAAGATTCGCTATTGGAAGGAGGTCACGGCATAGACCCAGGTGGCATGAGGCATGGCCACGGGAAATAAAGCTAGTTTGCAAATTAATCACATGAATAATCGATTCTCACACACACGGTTCAATACGTGCATAGGAAGCAAAAATAACCAAATTAAAATCGACAAAGGAAGGCATCATTATACGACTAGTGGCAATGGACACACATCTGCAACATTCCACACTGCTCCAACAACTACGCGATGACGGCGACTCGACAACTACAAACGGTAGCAAAGGAGACACAGAACCCATTTGGGCGCTCACCTGCGTCCTCCCTTGAGGCTGCTGCACCGACGCCGACCATCCTGCCGCAGTCATTGCTGCGAGAAACGGGCGCTTCCTGGCCAGGGGCAGAGGTTCGCGGGCACCGCCGTTGTAGTGAGGTGCGGCCACCGGGGCGGGCCGCGGGTAGTTTGCGTGGAGGGCATCGGACGCCGGTCGGACGACGTCCATGGCACCATCGACCGATGACACGTCGGCGCTGCAGTCAGGCTCGTCCGTTTTTGGTAGTGGCCACGCTGGCCTGCTGCCACCCGAGGTGGCCATCGTTCCTATAGGTGGAATGCGTGACTCTTCTTCCCGAAGACCTGCGGCGCCCTCCTGCGAGGAGGGTTCATCTCGAAGGAGAACGGCCCTACACTCTGGGGGGGCTTCTTCGTCGTGTTCTATTTTAATTGCAGACGTGTTCAGCCGGCTTTTCCAATCCGATTCGTAAGCACGCAGAGGCTCGTGTGGTCGCGCATGGGTTGCGCTGGCGGGGGCTAGACAAGAGGAGGCCGGCGGGGAGAAGGCTCCAATGGCTATCGAGGTTGGGAGGTCATGCTCACGCAAGTTGGTGGTGGCCAGCGACCACAGTGGAGCCATCGAGTCCTCACCGTTCTCCCGTAGTAGAAACCCTTCGTTTTCCATCGTGTAGAGGGCCTTGTTCACCTCCTTCTTTGGCAGTTTCAGACGTATTCGGAGTTGCGTGACGTTTACTTTTTGACCGTCTCTCAGGCACGCTATTATATTCCTTTGGAGGGGGTCGCTCGGAATGTTCTTGTGTTCTTGCATAAGATAAGGCTTCGTTGATTTCGGTCTCTCCCCGTGTCCCCTTATCTTTCCCCGTGTCCCCTTGTCTTTCCCCGTGTCCTCCTTTCCCCCTGTCTCTCCCGGTGTCTCTCCCCGTGTCCCCCTGTCTCTCCCCGTGTCTCTCCCCTTGTCCCCCTGTCTCTCCCCGTGTCCTCCTTTTCCCCTGTCTCTCCCCGTGTCTCTCTCCGTGTGCCCGTCTCTCCCCGTGTCTCTCACCGTGTCCCCCGTCTCTCCCCGTGTCTCTCCCCGTGTCCCCCTGTTCTTCCCGTGTCCCCCTGTCTCTTCCCGTGTCTCTCACCGTGTCCCCCTGTCTCTCCCCGTGTCCCCCTGTCTCTCCCCGTGTCTCCCCGTGTCTCTCACTGTGTCCCCCTGTCTCTCCCCGGGTTTCTCCCCGTGTCCCCCTGTCTCTCCCCGGGTTTCTCCCCGTGTCCCCCTGTCTCTCCCCGTGTCCCCCTGTCTCTCCCAGTGTGCCCCTGTCTCTCCCCGTGTCTCACCGTGTCTCACCGTGTCCCCCCTGTCTCTCCCCGTGTCTCACCGTGTCTCACCGTGTCCCCATGTCTCTCCCTGTGTCCCCCGTGTCTCTCACCGTGTCTCACTGTGTCCCCCCTGTCTCTCCCCGTGTCTCACCGTGTCCCCCCTGTGTCCCCCCTGTCTCTCCCCGTGTCTCACCGTGTCCCCCCTGTGTCCCCCCTGTCTCTCCCCGTGTCTCACCGTGCCCCCCCTGTCTCTCCCCGTGTCTCTCACCGTGTCTCACCGTGTCCCCCCTGTCTCTCCCCGTGTCTCACCGTGTCCCCCCTGTGTCCCCCCTGTCTCTCCCCGTGTCTCACCGTGTCCCCCCTGTCTCTCCCCGTGTCTCTCACCGTGTCTCACCGTGTCCCCCCTGTCTCTCCCCGTGTCTCACCGTGTCCCCCCTGTCTCTCCCCGTGTCTCACTGTTTCTCCCCGTGTCCCCCCTGTCTCTCCCCGTGTATCACCGTGTCTCACCGTGTCTCACCGTGTCCCCCTGCCTCTCCTCGTGTCTCACCGTGTCCCCCTGTCTCTCCCCGTGTCTCACCGTGTCTCACCGTGTCCCCCTGTCTCTCCCCGTGTCTCTCCCGCTGTCTCTCCCCGTGTCTCACCGTGCCCCCCCCCTCTCTCCCCCTGTCTCTCACCGTGTCTCACCGTGCCCTCCCTGTCTCTCCCCCTGTCTCTCCCCGTGTCTCCCCGTGTCTCACCGTGCCCCCCCTGTCTCTCCCCCTGTCTCTCCCCGTGTCTCACCGTGTCTCTCCGTGTCCCCCCTGTCTCTCACCGTGTCTCACCGTGTCCCCCTGTCTCTCCCCTTGTCTCTCCCCCTGTCTCTCCCCGTGTCTCACCGTGTCTCTCCGTGTCCCCCTGTCTCTCACCGTGTCTCACCGTGTCCCCCTGTCTCTCCCCTTGTCTCACCGTGTCCCCCTGTCTCTCCCCGTGTCTCACCGTGTCTCCCCTGTCTCTCCCCCTGTCTCTCACCGTGTCTCACCGTGTCCCCCCTGTCTCTCCCCCTGTCTCTCCCCGTGTCTCTCCCCCTGCCTCTCCCCGTGTCTCACTGTGTCCCCCCTGTCTCTCCCCCTGTCTCTCCCGGTGTCTCTCCCCCTGTCTCTCACCGTGTCTCACCGTGCCCCCCCTGTCTCTCCCCGTGTCTCTCCCCCTGCCTCTCCCCGTGTCTCACCGTGTCCCCCCTGTATCTTCCCGTGTCTCTCCCTGTGTCCCCCCTGTCTCTCCCCGTGTCCCCCCTGTCTCTCCCCGTGTCTCTCCCCCTGTCTCTCCCCGTGCCTCTCCCCGTGTCCCCCCTGTCTCTCCCCCTGTCTCTCCCCGTGCCTCTCCCCGTGTCCCCCCTGTCTCTCCCCGTGTCTCTCCCCCTGTCTCTCCCCGTGCCTCTCCCCGTGTCCCCCCTGTCTCTCCCCGTGTCTCACCGCGGGCTGTGGCCACGGCCGCGCGTTCGCCCGCCGCCCTGACTCGGGGCGAGGCGATGGCTCCTCGCAGCTCGAGTTCGCGTCGTCGTCTCGCGCCCTCGCTCCGTTCGGCCCCCACGTCGTTTGCCGTCGTTGGTAATAATCGCGCTTACAAGTAAATGAGTGTTGTTGGTGTTGTTGTTGTCGCTGCTTGCTTTGAGTTTTTAAACCGAGCGGCCGAAAAGTGACGACAACGAAACGGGAAATCCGCGCGGCTTCACTTCCAGGCGGTCACGTGACCACCGGGAAGTGAAGCGTCACGGGGGCCGCGTCATGGGCCGTTGCCACGCGCGCCGTTGCTAAGGGGATCCTTTAGGATTCTTGGGGTTCTCATTCTTTTTTATTTACTTTTTTTTTAAAAAATGTTCTTGCCGTGGTTTTCACACCTGATGATGACTGCTTGCGTTGCAGTCGAAACGTCGTGAGAATTTTACTGTTTTTGTACTTTTATTATTTTATTGTTTCCCTTCTACGTGACTTTACCGCAAGAGCTAATAATATGTTCTCATTCTTCTCATTCTCCTCCTCATTCTTCTCATCCTTTACTCTTCCTTCTCCTCCTCACTCTCCTCCTCATTCTTCTCATCCTTCCTTTTCTCCTTCTCCTCCTCACTCTCCTCCTCACTCTTTCGTAACACGACTAAACACTGCTGTTGTTGCCGCCCTTCGCCTCATTGTTCGGTAGAAACAACAACAACAAACAATAACAAACAAACAACACCTCGATATTTCAAGGAGCCGCAACGCACTGTGCGGTGAACACGAGACGGCGTGGATCTTTAATAATAATAAATAAGCGTCACGAAGCAGCCCTTTACAGAGCTTTGAAGCTTCATGTTTGCACGACCCCCTGGGTACGGCCGACGTTAAACTTAGCGGGAAGCATCCGACGTTGCCCGGGGGGGGGGGAGAAAAAATAAATAAAATATATTGAAAAAGCTTCTCAAAAACGTAACATATACAAAAATGGGGGGAAAAAACTTTGATCATTACCTGATTAATATATATATTTTTTAAATAAAACCCAACGCGCGTTCGGGGGGAGGAAAAAAACTTACGCTCGCCCGCGCCAAGATTCCATTCTTTAGACACACACATTTACACATTTCCCTTTTTTTATATAGATATAGATAATAAAGAGCGTAATGTCACACTCAGGAGGGTCAAGCCACGGATAACCCCGTCAGGAGTAGCGGAGTGTAAATCCCCGTGACGATGTCTCCTTTCGTTATTAGGGACCTCGGGGCATTGCGTCTTCGTCACACGTTCCACGACTGCGGGATTTTATTATTTTATATTTTTTTACATTTTTTTGTGCATCATCAGGCACCCGCATCTACTGCCATGGTCTGCGCAGTGGATGCGGTTTCGTGTGGATCCACGAGCAGCTTTGTGGACGATCAAACAACCCCAGGGCATCTTCTGCCATGGGTCTTTCACGTTGTTTTGAACTCCATTCGACACTCCAATCAATCTTCACCGGAGTTGAACTCGACTCCTATCGCCTCCCCCCCCCCAGTCGTGGGGTACCATCGAAGTGTATTGGGGGGCTTGGACTGCGAACCCCTTGGTGAAAGTCTCAACGCAGAAGATTCCCCTGGGTTCCTGGGGGGGGGGGGGAGATTTGATCTTCCATGAAGCTCGTGGAAGATCCTGAACCGCATCCATTGCACAAACCGTGGCAGTAGATGCGGATTCCTGATGCACAAAGGTCAAATTATAAACTCCCCAGCAGTAGTGGTGGTCGCGACTGTGGTCACTCAGAACAGATCGTACAGCGAAGCAATGCCCGATTCACAAATACGAAGGAGACATCGCAGCGATAGACTCCGGCTGCTCCTGACACAATTATCTACGGCTTGACCGCCTAAATGTGAAATTGTAGTCGTCGCTCTGCATCTACATCACAAACCCGTCAACCCCTTATCAGTGCTGCCTACCTGATTACAGACCAATTCAGACCTTATTGGTCACCCCGTGCCCCTTATTAATCTCAACGTTCATCCTACAAAGTCCCATCACAGGGGAGAACACACAAACAAATAGACAGCACATTTTCCTTTGCCCGTATTGAAACGGCTCTTCGCCGTATGGACCTGAAAATTAAATTTACCTACACAAGAATACGGGGTAAACCGCATGGGGTTGACAGGTATGAACAACAGCAGCGTACGACACAAGATTTCTGTATTAACGTCACAACCAAAGTCACCACTAGGTGGTGCTCGAATTTTACTGATCCTGGAGAGGCGATGATGATGATGATTTGGTTATTTGCCAATTACTGAACATATTCTTCGTGACCGAACACATAACGCTCAAGATGCATACATCAAATCGTGTGTGATGAGAATTGACGATGATGCCAATTGCATCTTTAAGATACAACTGACAATACAAATGAGACAGAGATTGATAACGTTGCTGGAAACGGTGGTATCACCCATCTGAAGGGTTACACTGGTCTTCAAGATCGTTGTGGTTGTGTGATTGTGTGTGATTGTCTTTGTGATGTGCGTGTGTGCGAGGCACCGGATAGCGTAGCGGTGAACGCCACGCTGCGCTACGAACCCGGCGACCCGAGTTGGATTCCCGCTCACGGCCAACACCAGTGACGATATCTACATCATTAGACCTCCTTTGCCATTACCAAAATATAAGAATAGGGGTTTTTCCCCTTTTTTCTGGCAAACAAAACTGAAACCTTTTAACAAGGATTCATCTCTGCATTAACCACAATACCTGCAGTCAAAATGCAAACAAAAAACATACTATGATAATATATATGCATTGTCCTTGAAACTGATTGGTCCACACCAAGGGACGGCTTTCTTTTGAGCTTCGACCCAATTGGTGCTCGACCAGATGACGCCAAAAGGCGTACAGCTCAAAGACAATGCACTATCAAAGTAATGAGGGCTCGGGGTGAGCATCTACATCATTAGACCTCCTTTGCTAGTACCAAAATATAAGAATAGGGGTTTTCCCATTTTTTCTGGCAACAAAACTGAAACCTTTTAACAAGGATTCATGTCTGCATTAACCACAATACCTGCAGTCAAAATGCAAACAAAAAACGTACAATGGTAATATATATGGGGCATTGTCCTTGAAACTGATTTGGTCCACACCAAGGGACGGCTTTCTTTTGAGCCTCGACCCAATTGGTGCTCGACCAGATGACGCCAAAAGTGACGATAATGATCTGAACCGGTCCTGGGCCTACTGCCCTAGGTCGACTCAGCCTCAAATGAGTACCTGGTGCGGTGTGTACTCATCGCCATTGGGGAGACAAAGGTGGCCGGGCGTGGTGCTGGCCGCCCACCTCCTCGTGTGCCGTTCCGGCCTTCATAGGTGCTCGCTAACAGCACTTGGCCCAACAGTCTGTTCATGGCTATATGGGGGATCTTTGTCTTCGTTTTTTTGCGTGTGATGAGCTGGTAACCCTTTCCGCTTGGCACTATTACTACAAAATGCCACGGTGGAAAGACCCAACTCAGCTCGTTCTGGAGGCCCCAAGGGGGTATGCGTTTATGGCATCTTCTGGCCAGTCTGCATTTGTGCGGAGCCAGACCGAACTCCCCCACCAGCACCACCACCCTCTTTGGGTTCCTCCAGGAACAGGAGACTACTGCGGTTGGCCACGTGGAATGTCCGAACTCTCGCTCCAAAGGAGAGGCTGCTATTCCTCTGTCGGGAGATGGACCGGTACCGCCCTAGACCTCTGTTGGAATCAGGGGCGGAGCCAGGATTTTGACTTGTGGGGGGCGGGGGGGGCTGACTTCAATATTCTGAGATATCCAGTGTTTATGTTTTCCAATGGGCGCCACAAATGTATAAAACAAATTTTATTGGATTTGAACGCGGAGTTTATTAATAGGTCGGAGCCGCTTATGTGGCTAATAAGTTCGATAATTTCTAAAGGCTGCCGCTCAAGCAGCCTGCAGGGCAGCACAAGGTGGTAGCCAGCAGCATTTTGCAGCAGCCGGATTTCCGGTTATCCCGATTACCCACTTTCCCAAAATTTCAGAGGGGGCTGAGCCCCCCCCCCAGCCCCCCCCCTGTGGCTCCGCGCCTGGTTGGAATGCAGGAGGTCCGGTTGACTGGTCCTGGCTCCAGTCACCTTGGCGGTTGGACAGTCCTCCACTTTGGGCAGGAAACTGACAAACAACAGGGAGTGGGCATTGCTTATAAACAAAAGAATGGGGGGGGGGGGGGAGCGTGGAGGCGAGGTGTGGGAAGCTGAGTCTCCCAGCTGCTGTGGGCTCACCTCCTCATCAACAAGCGGCGAGGAACAGCTTAATAATAACGGTGGGAGTCTGTAAGACTTCTGTGCAGGCCATGGGCTTGTAATTACTAACACATTGTTCCTGCATCAGCGCATCCACACATCATGAATGCACGTCGAGTTCAAGAAAAAAAAACATATGCTGGACTATATATGACAGAAGAGCGGATGCGGGCCCATGTCCTTCACACCAGGACTTACTGTGGAACTGTCGGGGCAAGTGCTGTTAGCGAGCACCTATGAAGGCAGGCACGGAACACGAGGTGGTGGGTGGCCAACACCTCCCCCCGACCGCCTTCGTCTACCAGGTGGCGATGTTTTTACACACTGTGCCAGGTACTAATTTTAGTTTGAGTCGACCTAGGGGAAGTCCAGGACTGGTTTAGATATTCGTCACCGATGTTGGCCATGATCGGGATACGAACTCGGGTTGCCAGGTTCGTAGCGCAGTAAGCTAACCGCTAAACGAACACACACACGTGTACAAATACACTAAATGCAACACTCCCATAAATCGTCACCCCCTACCCTCCCAAAAATGACACACTCACCAACTACACTAACATTTGGCCAAACTCTACATTTTATTAAATCTTGAACAAATAAAACATCAGTGCTTTTAAACTTCGTCAGCGATAAACTTCCACGTTCGTTTTTTTATTTACTTTTTTTTAAACCTCATTTAATTCGCTTAAATTATCGTGCTAATTTAAAAACAAGCTTCAGAGAAAAAGGCATGATGCTTTTGCGGGGTGAATAGTTTACCGCAAGAGTCCGTATTCTTTGTAATAATTATCACTTTTATATTAGGTATTTTGTTTGTTTCTTATAGCTCTGTACACTTTCTGACTCATTTCAATCTCTCGCCGTCAAATCCCAAGTTGGTTTCAAGATATTTGTGGTACAAGTCCAGCTTGTATCGCAATTGATTAGGGATAAGTGGGGCCTCAAAGGTGTGCGAGGGAAGAATGCATGGCAGGTTTGTTACAGAAATGGAAGCAATTCACTACATTGGTGAAACTCACACCTTCAATGCTGATGTTTGTCAACAACAGTTCCAACTTGGCATAGAAAGTGTTTGCATCATCATTATCACCGTATCTGTTATCATTACCGTCACCATCAAGTCACATCCATAAACACCTTCATCCAATATCATGACCACTACCTCTGTCACCTCTGACATTATCACCATCATCACCTTCACTGCCCTTATCATCATCAATCACCATCCACTGTTGCCACTATCGGTATTACCATTGACATGATCTCTCCGGTAACCACTATCATCGCCATCACTTTACTCTATTCAGTGACCCCTCCATCATCACCGTCTCCGCCGCATTCCGCTGGACCATCATCACCCATCACAACGTTCACCGTAATCCACTATATCTCCAACGTCACCAGATTCCACATGATCACCCTCACCATCGACATTGCCATGCTCTTCAAAAAGGGACCATCACAAACATTCTCATCACCAACATCGTCATCGCCAACCTACATCGGCTCTCTGTGGCGTTATTCAGCTAAAGCTGGCTAAAGGCAAACATCTATCACGCCGCACGCGCCCTTCCAACGAGACCACCAGGGCGCACACACCTCCACTCCGCCTTGCCAAGCCCCACGTGCCTGTACCCGGGGCCAAAGCACATGGGGGGCCACTTGGTTTCAAGAAGCGCCTCGAAGCACAGCCGCCGGCAAAGCAAACAAAAAAAAACAACGTTCAAGGTAAATGAGACCGACTTGAATAAAACAAAAAAATTTCCTCTCCCGTTGGCAATGCTGTTAAAAATCGACGATCGACTCGTACGATCTAGAGAGCGGTGAGTCACGGCCGAAGCCAGGACAATTGGTAGGTAATCAATCGCGCCAATCGCGGCGCTTGGGGACGTTCGACAAATTCTGGAGCACAGAAATACAGTTTACCACCGGGCCAGAGTCTGCCGCCAATTAGCGGTGCCTCGAAATTGTGCCTCAATAGAAAATCACGGCGTGGACATGCACATCAATTAAATATGGCCACGAGAATAGTCCTCTGGCCTCAAAATATTCCACGATTCAAGCTCCTTTAATACGCTAACTGTAAAAGTGGCCAAAGTTAAGCTGTGCTTCGAGTATTCGATTATTTTCCCTTTTATAAACCAAGGTTATATCTCTTAGCTGTCACCCAAATGAGCACCCTGCGCATACAACGTTCGGAGGCACATTCGTTCCTGCAGGTGTGGTCGCGGTGGATGATGGCAGCGGCGTGGGGTGGCCACAGTTGGGACCGTAGCAGAAAAAGAGCAATAATTCAAGATCAGGGAATGGGGGTTGTTGAGCGGGGTGGGGAATGACAGAGGACGGGGTGACAGCAGGGAAAAACGGGGGTGGCGGCAGCTGAATGCCGTCATGTGATCCAGCGCTGTTCGCCGAGCCGTAGGCGCTTGGCCGAGGTGGGAGAGAGGGAGCCCTGAGAGGCCCCGTGCGAGGCGTGGCCCAGGGACAGAACGCTGGAGGTGGCGACGTCGTCCCGGTCGCTCGTGCCGTCGTCGTACGAGCTGGCGGAGCTGCTCAGGCTGTCGGCGGGAGAGTGGTCCGACTGCGTGCCTCCCTGTACTCTGTGCAGCTGGTGTTGTTGTTGTGGCGGCTGCTGCTGCTGCTGATGATGCTGTTGCTGCTGCTGCTGGTGCTGCTGCTGCTGATGCGTGTGAGGCAGGTAGGAGCTTCCGATGCCCGAAGCCCGGTCCCTGGAATAGAGAGAAGTCGTGTAAGGAGAAGCGGTTATTGGCTTTTCATTCTTGATTTGAAGTTTTCGTGACTGCAGGAATCCACTCTTTGGTTCTTTCGGTAAAGTCACGTAGTTAGAAAAATAAAATAAAACAAAAAATAATACATCACGACGTTTCGATCGCAACCCAAGCGGTCGTCCTCAGAAAAATAATCCAGCAGTGGATTATTTTTTATTCTAATCCAGCAGTGGATTCTTTTTTCCGCCTGAGCACGACCGCTTGTGTTGCGATCGAAACGTCGTGATATATTATTTTTTGTTTTATTTTATTTTTCTACCTATGTGACTTTACCTATAGAACCAACGAGCATGGCTCTTCATTACTAATAATAATAATTATTATCATTGCCCTTTGTTTGGCAGATGCTACCGTTGTGCACTGGTTAGCACACCGAGGTTGTCGGTTAGCTCTCCCAGCATGGCAGGTTGAAACGACGGTACGCGTTTCTGATGTAGAGGTGTTAACTACGCGCTGTTGCGTAACCTGCATTGCCACCAGGGCAGTGCAGCATTACCCCTGGGTACAACGGTTGGGGTCAGTCGAGGTGAAACGGATCGTAGGCAGGGGTTGGTACGAACCAATCAGACGGTTCCACGTGGGAATGTGTGATTGGTTCTACCTGGCCACGAAGGGGTATAAGACGGTGACCCAACGGACCTCGGGGAGTTCTCTCCCTGCACGAAGATAGAAGACTGGGCTGAAGCCTAGCTAGGACCCTGGACCAGCCTTTCAGCCCTTCTAAGGGCTAAGGCTCGGCATACCCAGTGGTCAGGACCCACCGGGCCAGCGGTGGGTCAGATAGCCTCCCCTAGGTCCTAGCTGGAGGACTAGGATAGCGGTAGACGTGTGAGTCCCGCCAAGTCCAGAGGTTGTACCTCCTTAGGTATCAAGGAGGTTAGCGGTAGACGTGTGAGTCCCGCCAGGTCCGGAGGCTGTACCTCCCTAGGGTATCGGGTGAGGGGACCGAATATCCCTCTGTGTGTTAAGCGTTGTATAAGGAAATAATACAATAAACAGAGTGTGCCTCTTAAAGAAGTCTGCTCGTCCTTACAACACTACACTTAAATCCCCACCGCCTCTGTCCACGTAGATGTCCATCCAGACTAGTAGGTACTCCACAGTCAATCGATCGGCCGGTCACATGTGGTGGGGGCGATGTGTGGGGTACCTCAAACTCTTTCCAGATGTTTGGCCAGCGTAGAAGAGTAGGCCAGAATTCCCCTCTAGAAGGGGCTATCTAGAGCTTCCACGAGTGGAGTTCCGACTGCCAGGAGTGGCGTGGCTAAACAATTGCAAGCCTGCACCTTTATATTTAGTTTAGTTCATCAGAAAAGCCTCACCGAGTCTTTAGACTCGCCACTAGCAAGATGAAGGAGGCCAGGCGTGGTGCTGGCGACCCCCTCTCCTCACTTTGCCGTTCCGGCCTTCATAAGCCTTTCGCAAACAGCACTTGCCCCTAACAGTCTGGTAAAGGCTATACGGGGGATCTTTGTCTCTGTTTTTTTTGTCGTGTGGCCTCCCTCTCTGCCATGCCTGCGAGTCAAGGAACTCACGCGAGTGCTCCGAGCGTGGGCCCAAGGGGTCCTCCCTGTCGTTGCCAGGGCGACATGGGGCCAAAGCTTGACAAGGTGGCCAGCTCAGCACCAGTCAATCCCAAATCTGTCGAGATGAACACAAGCACGCGCGGACACACATTTACTTATATTATTACGATCCCCGTTTAATATTAATTTGGCCAGTTGTGGCACAACCCTGCTGACGATAACCAGGAGAATGAAACCAGTCCAGAGTTTGGTTGCTTAAACAAATTCTGCCGGACAACATACATCCAGAAGAGCCATAGGCTGATGAACTTAAATATATATTTGTTATGAGAAGGTACAGACAGAAATTTATTTATATATTGTTCACTTATCCACAATAGTGCATAATAACGTATTATATATACATGATTAGAAAAGTGGGTGTTTTTCATTCATACATGAACGTCGTGTGTAATTTCTTCACATGACTCACGAATGTTAAACAATAACAAAATATCTATTTAAAATCTGGTTCTTTCGGTAAAGTCACGTAGGTAAAGAAAATAAAAAAATATAAATAAAGATAAAAAAGATTTTTAAAAATCACGAAGTTTCGATTGCAACACAAGCAATCATCATCAGGTGTGAAAATCACAGCTAAACATTTGAGTAAAAAATATTTTTAGTAAAAAAAAATCTGTGATTTTCACACCTGATGATGATTGCTTGTGTTGCAATCGAAACGTCGTGATTTAAATTGTTTTAAATCTTTTTTATCTTTTATATTTTTATTTTCTTTACGAACGTGACTTTACCGAAAGAACCAGATTATGGATCCTTGCAGTCACGAAAACTTCAAATCTAGAATAAAAAAATATAGATTTTTCAACTCTATCCCAACACTGGATTGGTGACTATCGATTTAGAATGAAGCAGAGAATCATTACAGTCCTATGTATAATAAAAAAAAATAAGCAGGCAATTCACCTCCTTGGCATATTTGTCTCTCTGCATAAAAATATATAAAAGTATTTTTCTCACATCCCACCAGCCACACGGCCTTCTGGGAGTGCATAATATCAGCAGGTTTGGTTCAATGCAAGAAAAACTCTAGACCGATTTTTACATTCAGTACCTCATCAGGCTCACTTAAAATCAATTCTGGTGAACTTATTTAGATACTGTATGTAATTTGTTACTTATATTCTCCACGACGACAGTAATGACGATGTTTGTGTTCATTATAATTTACGATTGATTCATTCATGAACATTCTACCGAAACCCACGAATAACACATAAACTGTTCATAATCAAATTAAGATGGACATCATCATCTTTCTAATGACCGTGTTAAAACAGTGCCAATTTTAACATGAAGTTTGCATGCGGCTTCTGGTGATGCTAAAATTGACATGCAATGGACTCGTGACATTTGAACACAAATGTAACCCCGAACATAAGTGGCGTCTCGTACAGTGGGGCCACCTTGATGGAGTGAGAGCAATGGGCGGTGTTGTGTTTTTTTGGTTTTGCAGACGTAGAAAAATCAACCCCCGTGGTACTTTTCTCTCACAAGGGGCAGACCACATGCAGGGGGGGGTGTGGCTGCCATGGCAGCTCGTCCGTCCGTCCGCAGTGAATGCATCACTTGGTTGTGCGCGCGTGTGTGTGTGTGTCTCATGGTCAGACGTCAGTGCTGAGCTGGGACCAATTCCTCTGGGCCCGAAACGGCTGCATAGCAACAGCTGATGCTGACTAAAATGATGATTTTAATGGTGGTGACGATGATGAAGCTGCAGCTTATGATTAAGAATACTGCTGCTGATGTTGCTGCTGCTGCTGATGGTTCGCTTCTGCTGCTGGTGAAACTGAAAATGCTGCTGCATGTGCGGCGGATGCTGATGACGATAACAATAGTACGATGATGACAATGACGATACCGATCGACGGTGCTGCTAACTGCTGCCACTGATTGTGATGATAACGATGTTCATCCTAATTATTGACGATAACGATGACAGTGACGCTGCTCATCATGATGATAATGGCTTAAACCATAAGGATGATTCTCGTAATGTTGAACGTGCACGTGTGTGTCCCACACCATAAGAGGATGGCATCACACAGTGGAACCCAGGCGATGAACTGGCCTGGGCAACGCCAAGTCTCCGAGTCTGCACGCACACAAAGACAAAGATCCCCCGTATAGCCATAACCGACGGGTGGTACAAGTGCTGTTAGCGAGCACCTATGAAGGCCGGCACGGCGCACGAGTAGGTGAGTGACCAGCACCATGCCCGGCCACCTGTCTCCCGAGTAGGTATGTTTACACATCACACCCGCTACTCAACTGAGGCTGAGTCAAATTAGGGGAGACCGAGAACTGCTTCAGATAACCCTTGGCACTTCGTCTTTGCTGGAATCAAGCTCGGATAATAATAATAAAAAAAACCCACGTCACGGGATTTGTTGCACAAGTCATGCACCACTCTGCTCCTGCTCCACACACACTGCGTGCTTGCCAACCCTACCGAGTGAACCGGTAATCTGATTTAAAAATAAACCTTTTACCGCATAAACCGTTTAACAGCATACCGATTAATTAAAGCAAAACGTTGCGTCAAGACCTTTATTTTCTCTATCAAACTCGTTGTGACGCAATCCCGATTCGCTCCAAAAATCGGTATTCGGTATTTTTTTTTTAAAACGACCAGTACATGACACAGACAGAGACAAAGATTCCCCGATAGCCATACGGACGACTGGGGCAAGTGCTTGAAGTGAACACCTATGGAGCACGTGTCGCTACACCCACGTAAACATGCACGACAGATCTATACCAAACCATGACATTCGTGTTTGTTAAACTGGATGAGGTTATGAACCTCATCGCACACGAGACCCCAGCTGCACCCCCCCCCATTCCCCCAAGGACCTCACAGCCAATGTATGCGTTGTCCACGTGGGAACAGAACCTGGGAGAGGAAAGGTGCCGGCTCAGCTTCCTGACCGGGGGCACTGAATCAGCCACCTATTACCCAGAGTGCAATTAAGAAAAGCACAGTGAAATCCTCGCTTCTGTAGGGCACAAAGACAAAGACCTCTCCAGCCCCCCCTTATAGCCTTAACAGACTGTTGGGACAAGTGCTGTTAGCGAGTAGCACCTTTGAAGGCCGGCACGGAACATGAGGGGGGGGGAGTTGCCAGCATGAAGCCCGGCCGCCTTTGTCTCCCCATTGCAAGTCGCTTGTAAGACATCAGCTTAGTGCACATGTTTTAATCTAGAATGTATCATCGTATTTGTTAAAGGGGCACCACGGTGGCCTGGTGTGCAGGAGGTCGTGGGTTCGATCCCGACCCTAACGCCTGCTGTATATTTGGAAATTGCGGTGTCTCTCTCCCCGTGGTCACGTGGATTTTTCTCCGGGTCCTCCGGTTTTCCCCTCCACATTTAAAAGCATGCGTGTGGAGTATTTGTCTACTATGAATTCACACATGATAAGAGAGTATTCGGCTTTTTATAAATGTCCACACGATGAGCCACTTCGTTGAGCTATCATTTGTGGCCACGTTGCTTCTGAAAAAGAGCTACATAGCTCAGTGGACATTACCTGGTAAAATAAAAAAAGTTTAGTTTTAGTTTTCAGCCTTTGTTTACATTACACACCCCTTCTAATGCATTCCTTTTTAGTTTCACAGAAGTCCAACCCATGCAGAACAGATCCACGCAAAGGTCCAAGCACGGATTAAGTTGTTTGTGGCGCACGGATTAATTTGTTTGTGGCACACGAAGCGATGTCGAGCTGAGGATCAAACCACACAGCGGGGACCATTCCACTCACCAGATCCAAATCTTGCTCCTCGAGCTGTGAGTGTGAACACGAATCACACGCAAACCGGTGAGTGTGGCGCCTACTACCCACAAACTGCACACTTTTTCGTACGGGTGAAGCTGCCCTAGAGCAGCGGTTCCTCACCTTTACTGCGGGTCTTGCACCCCTTCGGTTCTCAATAGTAAAACAACGCTTCATGTTAATGAATACATCGAGGGTTTGATGAAACAAAGTAGTTGTACTAACGTGCCCGTGCTTCATTGGTGTTTTCGATTATTTACCTTCGAAAAAAAATCCGGCCACGTCTCGCACCTCCCCCAGAAAGGGGCATCTAACCTGGGGTGCAAGCGCGCACCCCAAGGTTAAGAACCACTGCTGTCGACCAAAAACAACTGTGATTTTACACTCAGGTGGTTGAGGCAGACGATTGCGTTAGGAGGAGCGGAGCGGTGCAGCATCGCTGCGACGGCGCCTCCGACCTCGTTATTGTGAAACGGGCATTGAGTCGTTACGTGTCACGTGGCCTTCCCCACTGGGTGGTGACCACAGTCGCACACCGGGGAGTTTTAGAAATGTTCCATTTGTGCGTCAAGCGCCCGCAACTGCTCCTGCCACGGTTTGTGCGGACGAATCCCACGGCGACAGTGAAAGCTCGTCCGTCACTGTGCTTGCAATGAGAAGTCGGAAAAATTACTCGGTGGATGCGATGCACAATCGGCCCCACGCGTGTACGCACGTTGAACGTCTTTCGGCACCTTACGTAGACAACCGTGCCAGCTAGCTCTCCGAATGTGAGTTTGGGCGGTACTGCACGTCGTTATGGAATGATGTCCAACGTTTCGCTCCACTGCTGGGAACTTTGTATGGCCACGACAGGCGCGTGGCCATTGCATTGTCGTTATCGTTGCGTACTGATCGAAACTGCCATCGGGCGACATCCATCACGCGTAGCTTACGTCATCTTAAAACGCATTCACCGCTCGCTAACAGCAACGCAACTTTACGAAAAAGTTTAATTTCGTATTGGATCATGTGCTTTTTTTAAAAATTAGGGTTATAGTGCTGCTCCACTCCCTCCCCCCATTAGGGACGCGTCAACTTTTCAACCCTTCGTTAAGAAGCACTACAACATGGAGTTGGAATCTCCCTGCACGCACGAGCAAGAAAGGGGATTAGCCTATGCATCGTGTTGCTGGCCACCACCACCACCAAAGACAAAGATCGCCCTTACAGCCTGAAGAGACTTTTGGGGCAAGTGCTGTTAGCGAGCACCTATGAAGTCAGGCACGGCACACGAGGGGGTGGATGGCCAGCAACCACGCCCGGGCGCCTTTATCTCCCCAGTGGCGATGTTTACACGCCGCACCAGGTACTCATTTGAGGTTGAGTCGACCGAAGGGAGGCCCAGGACCGATTCAGATAATCCTCACTGGGTGTGTGCGTGAGCAGGAATCGAACTCGGGCCGTCGGGTTCGTAGCGCAGGTCGCTTAACCACTACACCCACCGCTCCCCACACCCCCACAAGCACCTCCACTGCCATCACAGCCACCGCGGTCCTCACCAGCGCCGTCGGGATGAGGCCACCCTTGTTCCCGGCCTGAGCGAGCGATCGCCCCGCCGAGTTGGACAGCCCCACGCCGAGTCCCGGCGACGAGCTGTCCGCCCCGAGCGTGCCCGGCGAGGACGGGGAGCGCCCGGGGGGAGCGCGGCCCAGCACCCCCGCACTGGAGCCCCCCCCCACCATCAGGCCCTGCACCCCCGTGCTGCTGCCCCCCAGACTGCCCCCTCCCGGTGAGCCCAGGTGGCTGGGTGACACTTGGGTTGGGCTGCAGTAGCCGTTGACTGCGGGGAGGGGAGGGGAGGAAAGATGGGACAGGGATTAATTTCAGCCTGTCTGGGCCAGAGACCAGGAAAATATTTCCTGCAGCTGGCACACCACATCCACTATACCCTCTAGCTTTGGTTCTAGCAACGAGCAACGTGACTGCTTCCGTCTACCAGTGCCATGGAAAATATTCAGTGAGACACCACCATCGAGCCCGGCAGTACGTCATCACGCAAGTATGACAATATTGTCCTGAATGCAGCCGAAATTGTCAGATATTGGAAGCTGAGCAGGTTTCAGTCTGATTATTACTGGGATGGGAATACCAGGATGGGAATACCAGGATGGGAATACCAGGATGGAAATACAAGGACGGGAATGCCAGGATGGGAAAACCAGGATGGGAGTACCAGGATGGGAAAACCAGGATGGGAGTACCAGGCGCTTTTGGCTTCGGGTGTGAGGTGGTCAGGAGATGACAGCACAATCGATCTGTGTTGAACGTCGAGTATTACCACCTCGTAAGTGTCGATTTTCTCTGGATAATTTACTCGCCGGGAGCAAAATGCCTCATTAAATGGAATTGGCCAAACATCTGAAAAATAGTGTTGAGACTCAGCGAGGCTTTCGGTGTAAATAAAAGCCATTATTAGTATTACGTGCGTGCCACGTACAAGCCACCCTTAATGATGACCTCGGCACGTCTTGGCAGCTAAGCTGGGTTGACTCTGACCAGCACCTGGATGGGAGAACAGCTAGGGAATATAAGATCGATTTGTGTGGTTAGTGTCAATTCACTCAGCAGAGGAGCTCCATTATTGTCTTTTCTCTCTGAGCTCAAATTCACGAGTGTTCTCGCTGGCCACTGCAGTTTCCTCACAGAGGTAAAACAGAAAATATTCAAAAGAGTAAGCAACCAAATGTCCCATTGTAAGACTCTTTAGATGGAGTCCTGAGGCTCATTGAGGCATTCCTTGGTAATCAACATCGGTGTTCAATTGTAAAAACAAAATAAGCAGGCAATAAGTCTCCTTCATATCCATCTCACCACGTAAGAATGTTAAGATTTTTTTTACACAACAAATGAGCCGCCCGATCCTCTTGGAGTGGATAATTTCAGCAACAGAGAGACAGACTTATTAAGGAGACATTGTCTGCGGATTTATATAATGTATACAATCTTCACAATCACGCTCGTGTTTGCTTTCAGGTACGGAGTGATTTTTTTTATCGACCAGTAAGTGTTCACGAGGGGAAAATGAGAAGATAAGATTTGGGAGTTGAAACTCGGAAAACATGAAATTAACAAATTGTAGAAAAAACCAAACGGAGTTGGGCAGGACACCGAATAGCAGAGGGCAGAGATTAGCGACGGAACGGGTTGCCGATGGAGGGAAGGAGAAAGAGAGAAAGGCAGAACATGAGATGGTGAGACGAGGTGAGAAGATTTAGGAAAGCGCACTGGTTGAAAGTGGCTGGACATCGTGAACAGTGGAAGACATTGGGGCAGGAGGCCTTTGGCCAACTGTGGGACGTCCAGCAGATGTTGGCACCAAGGTTGTGGAACAGGCTTCCAGATGACCTTGAAATATTATGAATGCCACTCGCAATTAATTAACTTGAGACTAAATAAGAGAGAGATATGAATTTCAGATGGCGTATAAATAACTCAAATGAAATGAACACATTTTAGCTTGTTAATGTTACTTATCTTTTCTTTACCACTCCTGTATATATATTTTATAAACTTTGTATTTGGTCTACGATCCCTGAAGGACTCAAGTACCGCCCATGTTCCGGTACATCAGGATGCACTGCGTGGGAGGCGCGGTTGAAATAATAAAGGATGAAGACTACGACGACGATGATGATGATGACGATGTTTATGCTTCCGGCTAAGAAAGAGTTTAAGGAAGTGTTCAGTGAGGGTCGTTCGTGCCTTACCCTGGGCCGGGGGAGCTGGCGAGCCCCCCGTGAGACGCAGAAGCGCCCCTTGCATTTGGGGGTGGAGGGGAGGGGGCGGAGGGGGTAGCATCCCGCAGGGGCTCGAGTCCACAACTGAGGGCCCCCCCACGGAGAAGGACGGCAGCGAGACCCCCGAGGGGTCGCCCATCGACAGAGACATCGGCAAGTGGAAGCCAGAGGCCGACTGGGAGAGAGGGGCACGGGGAAAGAGGCACGGGTTTGAGAGGCACGGTGAGAGGGGCACGGGGGGGGAGAGGCACGGTGAGAGGGGCACGGGGAAAGAGGCACGGGTTTGAGAGGCACGGTGAGAGGGGCACGGGTTTGAGAGGCACGGTGAGAGGGGCACGGGGGGGGAGAGGCACGGGGGGAGAGGCACGGGGAGAGAGGCACGGGGGGAGAGGCACGGTGAGAGGGGAGAGGCACGGGGGGAGAGGCACGGGGGGAGAGGCACGGGTTTGAGAGGCACGGTGAGAGGGGCACGGGGGGAGAGGCACGGGGGGAGAGGCACGGTGAGAGGGGAGAGGCACGGGGAGAGAGGCACGGGGGGAGAGGCACGGGGGGAGAGGCACGGGGGGAGAGGCACGGGGGGAGAGGCACGGTGAGAGGCACGGGGGGAGAGGCACGGGGGGAGAGGCACGGGGAGAGAGGCACGGTGAGAGGGGAGAGGCACGGGGGGAGAGGCACGGGGGGAGAGGCACGGGGTGGGGGGGGGGCACGGAGGGAGAGAGGCACGAGGAGCGAGAAGGGGAGAGAGAAGGAGAGAGATGCAGACTAAACAGCGTGACTGACGTGACGAGAAATGTCACGAGTCCGTCTGTCAGCCTGACTGTCAAGTTACTGTCACTCGCCCAAGTAATGTTCACTGCACAGAGTCGACCTGAGGATCATTCCGATCGAAAGAAACCGGGACCTGTGGTTTTGATGAAGAGCTATGCTAAACCTGTGACCTTTGACCTATTTAAAAAAGGAACCGAAATTCATGCAAAGCATTTTCCTGAAATACTGCAGTCTAGTAAAGACTCACGAATACACATGGAGAGATGAGGAGACGAAAGAAATTACAAATATAGACACACCAAAACACAAAGCGTGATAGTGAGAGGGCAGAGCAGATACACTGGCAGGCATCGGCAGAGAAGCTTTAACATGCAGTAGCAGAACAAGCAAACAATATCGATACACTTAGAGACAGAAAGAAACATTAAATATGGAAACAGAGACTGAGAGAGCGAGAGAAAGAGACACAACGACAAGTCTCATTCTTAGTTATTTCGGTAAACTCGCGTAGAAGGCTGCTTGCGTTGTGGCCGAAACGTCGTGAGAATTTTATTTAATTACTTTATTATTTCCCTTCTACGTGACTTTACCGAAAGAACCAAGAATATGAATCCCTGCAGTCACGGAAGCTTTAAATGGAAACAAGTCTGTCAATTCATGCATATTGGGTCAGATTGCCACGTGGGTAAAACGCCAATGTGTGCTGTGCACCCTCCTGCACCCGACACAGCAAAACAAGTAACTTTTACACGTGAACAATCGTGACAATGTTTTTGATTGCTTCAGCGCACGCGGAAATGCTGCGCAGCGATCCACAACCCGTGCCACCCTGACCCCAAAATCAATTCACGAAATCACAAAATGCAACTTGCAATATATACACTGTCTTTGAAACTCATCGGACCAATCCGTTTCAAAGACAATGCATTAATCATTAGCAGAGCATGTTTTTTTTGTTTGCATGTTCACCACAAGCACGTGTGGTTAATGCAGACAGGATGCCTTGAATAAGGACTCTGTTTGGTGTGTTTTAACATCTTGACACCAGTTTTATTGCCAGAAAGGGTAAAACCTTTTGTTATATTGTTTACACGTATGTATGTTGAACTTCCTTTGCACTTTATGTCGCAAACCGTGCTATTTGAAGGTGCGGGGGAAGGACAACAAACTAAACACAAAGAGTAATTGTAAGCAAATTAGTTTTCAATTTAGATTTAAAAGTGCCAAGGCTCCAGTAGCTTCCTAATATCGTAAGGAAGAGCGCTGCAGACGGACACAGAAGCGCATCTGAAAGCGCGCGATGCGGTGACCATCTTTGTTCGATGGCTATCCATAAAGCCGCTGCTGCTGCTGCGAGGGTGAGCGGAGCTCACGTGGTGGTTTATGCTCCTTCACGAGATCAGACAAACCATCACGCAAACTCCTGTCATCCTCGAAACGGCTTCTGGCGAGCCATCGAACAAACACGGTCACCGCATCGCACGCTTTCAGACGCGCTTCTGCGGCCGTCTGGAATGCTCTTCCTTCCCATGTTAGGAAGCCACTGGAGCTATGCACTTTCACAATTAGATTGAAAACTCATCTCTTTAGAACTGATTTTTGTGTTTGGTTTGTTGTCCTCTCCCCCCCCCCCCGCCGCACCTCCGAACAGCACGGTTGGCTAACGTACGGTGCAAAAGAAGTTCCACATACATACACACGCGCAGAAAGGTTACCCCACATACAATGAGGGGAAAAATATTTGATCGCCTATTGATTTTGGACGTTTGCCCACTGACAAAGAAATGATCAGTCTATAATTTTAAAGGTAGGTTTATTTGAACAGTGAGAGACAGAATAATAACAACAACAAAAAATCCAGAAAAACGCATGTCAAAAATGTTACAAATTGATTTGTATTTTAATGAGGGAAATAAGTATTTGACCCCCTCTCAATCAGAAAGATTTCTGGCTCCCAGGTGTCTTTTATACAGGTAACGAGCTGAGATTAGGAGCACACTCTTAAAGGGAGTGCTCCTAATCTCAGCTTGTTACCTATATAAAAGACACCTGTCCACAGAAGCAATCAATGAATCAGATTCCAAACTCTCCACCATGGCCAAGACCAAAGAGCTCTCCAAGGATGTCAGGGACAAGATTGTAGACCTACACAAGGCTGGAATGGGCTACAATACCATTGCCAAGCAGGTTGGTGAGAAGGTGACAACAGTTGGTGCGATTATTCGCAAATGGAAGAAACACAAAAGAACTGTCAATCTCCCTCGGCCTGGGGCTCCATGCAAGATCTCACCTCGTGGAGTTGCAATGATCATGAGAACGGTGAAGAATCAGCCCAGAACTACACGGGAGGATCTTGTAAATGATCTCAAGGCAGCTGGGACCATAGTCACCAAGAAAACAATTGGTAACGCACTACGCCGTGAAGGACTGAAATCCTGCAGCGCCCGCAAGGTCCCCCTGCTCAAGAAAGCATATATACATGCCCGTCTGAAGTTTGCCAATGAACATCTGAATGATTCAGAGGACAACTGGGTGAAAGTGTTGTGGTCAGATGAGACCAAAATTGAGCTCTTTGGCATCAACTCAACTCGCCGTGTTTGTAGGAGGAGGAATGCTGCCTATGACCCCAAGAACACCATCCCCACCGTCAAACATGGAGGTGGAAACATTATGCTTTGGGGGTGTTTTTCTGCTAAGGGGACAGGACAACTTCACCGCATCAAAGGGACGATGGACGAGGCCATGTACCGTCAAATCTTGGTGAGAACCTCCTTCCCTCAGCCAGGGCATTGAAAATGGGTCGTGGATGGGTATTCCAGAATGACAATGACTCAAAACACACGGCCAAGGCAACAAAGGAGTGGCTCAAGAAGAAGCACATTAAGGTCCTGGAGTAGCCTAGCCAGTCTCCAGACCTTAATCCCATAGTAAATCTGTGGAGGGAGCTGATGGTTCGAGTTGCCAAACGTCAGCCTCGAAACCTTAATGACTTGGAGAAGATCTGCAAAGAGGAGTGGGACAAAATCCCTCCTGAGATGTGTGCAAACCTGGTGGCCAACTAAAAGAAACGTCTGACCTCTGTGATTGCCAACAAGGGTTTTGCCACCAAGTACTAAGTCATGTGTTGCAGAGGGGTCAAATACTTATTTCCCTCATTCAAATGCAAATCAATTTATAACATTTTTGACATGCGTTTTTCTGGATTTTTTGTTGTTGTTATTCTGTCTCTCACTGTTCAAATAAACCTACCGTTAAAATTATAGACTGATCATTTCTTTGTCAGTGGGCAAACGTACAAAATCAGCAGGGGATCAAATACTTTTTTTCCCTCACTGCATAGGTCGCCATCGTCGTCCTACTCAACGGCACCGAGAGCTCGGGCCGTCCGAGCGACCGCGGATCGCGCTCACCACGAGCTTCTGGCTGCGCATCATGCTGTCAAACTCCTCGTTGATGCGCCGGTATTTATCCTGGGTCCCCGGCGCGAGCAGGAATCCGCCGTCGACGCCGTCGCCGTCCTGCCCCTCGCCGCCGCTCTCACCCCCCTTGTGCTCCTTCTTGCTCAGCACCTGAGGCAGCAGGGAAGGGAGAGCGGGGGGGGGGGGCAAGGCAGTTGGGCGACAACGGTGGACACGCGGACTCCGGCTGGGAGCGGGCGATGAGCGTGAAACGCTGTGGGCTGTTGCGTCAGGGGCAGCTATTTGGACACAGTTCAGTTCATTTATTAGGTAAAGCCCTGTGAGCCATTCGGCTCTTGAATCGGGTGCAACCGCAACAAACAAAAACATGAACAAAAAACATCTTAAAGTGACTACGCGCAATAGAAGAATCCATGAAAAAACAGCAAAGTCTTTCAGAAAAAGCACCGTATATCAATGCTGTGTGCAAAAATCCCAGTGGGATGCAAGTCAAACAATAACAACCATAAGACAATTTAGATTAAAGTTACGAGTCTAACTCTGTACAACAACAAACAAAATATGGGATAATCCAAAACGTTTTCGAAATCACAAAAAATAAAGCAATAAAAACAACGTAACAGTGATCATAGGAACTGTCATTCAAATTTAACAATAAACGATATACATAACATGTACGACCAAACTTTGCAGCCATAGCTGGCAGCATGAGTCACTCCATAACGGCAGGAGTATCAGCATCAACGATTTTCAATGCACCTTTAAAGATCAGACGCGTGCGTCGGATGGATGACAACAACAACAACAACAGAAACATGTAAAAGTGTGTTGCTGGGAAAAATGTAAGGAACCGGAAAGAGAGGAAGACCGAACAGAGGATGGCTTGACGACGATCTAAGACGTCGGTGCCAGAAAGATGCATGCCACTGCTTGAATGTATTGACGCAACACAGACAGCAAAGTGAAAACAAATGGTAAAGTGTGCAGTGACCACCTACGGGGCTATCTATCCATGGACCGCGATGACGACGATGATGATGATGATGACGACGATGATGTGTGTCAGGGGCAGCTATTCCCATACTTCACCGTGTTGGACTGCTTTCCTTCCAGTTAGTCACCCCCCCCCCCCCCCCCCACAATTATTCTTAAAAAACCTCAAATCTGTCACCTGTATTTGACTCCGTTCATAATAATAGTTGTTTTCCCCCTTTTTTCTGGCAACAAAACTGAAACCTTTTTACGAGGAATTATGTTTACATTAACCACAATACCTGCGGTCAGAATGCAAACTAAAAACACACTCTGATAATGTATACATTGTGCTTGAAATTGATTGGTCCACACCAGAGATGGCTTTCTTTTAAGCCTCGTCTCAAACGGTGCTCGACCAGTTGACGCCAAAAGGCGCACAACTCAAAGACCAACGCACTATCAGTCTAATGAGGGCTCGGGGTAAGGGTTTACATCATGAGGCCTCCTTTGCCGTTAATGTTTTTGATCTGTGTTGGTCAGTATCGGCCTCCACCCAAGCGTCCACAGAGATTTGTAGTGGGGGACAGAGGTCTATTGTTTGCCCCCCAATGCACTAAATGGGGGGGGGGGGCAATAGCCCCCAGGATGCACTCCACCCCCGCCCCCTCCACCACCCCCCACTCTCGCTCACAAAGCCAAAAACTCAACCAAAGACAAAGATTCTCTGTCGAGCCCTAACAAAATGTTGGGGCAAGTGCTGCTAGCGAGCACCTATGGAGGCCGGCATGGCACACGAGGGGTTGGGTGGCCAACACCACTCCCGACCGTCTTTGTCTTCCTTGTGGCGATAATTACACTCCACACCAAGTACTCATTTGAGGCTATCTCGACATACGAGAAGCCCAGGACCGGTTCAGATAATCGTCACCGGTGTTGGCCGTGAGAGGGAATACGAACTCGGGTCGCTGGGGTCGTAGCACAACGCGCTAACCGCTGCGCCACCGCTCCCACTCGTTCACACTCACGCACACCACACTCACTTCTTATCACCGTCTCACTCAGACTCTCACCCCACTCGCTCACCGACTCAACCACTCACCCTCTCACTCAATCTCTCAAAGCTCTCACTCGCAAGGCTCTGTCTCCCTGCCTCCCCAGTCAGCACATCGCTGGGATAGACACCTGTTGCTCCACCCACACCTGTTGCGGCTCTGACAGCCAGCCGCATGACATCACTCACAGCCCTTGCCTTAGATGGGATCGTGTGGGCACGCGTGCAAGGAGCAGCACACACCAACACGCACACGAGCACCCACATGGGGACACACACACACACTCACACGCACGCACGCGCGCGCAGAGACAGATCTCTCCCTCTGGGTCTGCTTTATCAATCACCAGTGATTGACCCAGGTCACTGTGTCTCCACATGCGGTGCGAAAGAAGTTTCAACATACATACATGTAAGTAAAAAAATATGTGTCCGAGTCCATCAGCCTATTGGCTTTCCACACGGACATTATCCCGCGGCGTTTTTTTTTAAGCAAGCAAACTCTGGAACAGTTTTCATTAGATTTGTTTTATTCTCTGGGTCTCTTCAGCAGAGTCGGGTTTATTAAACGTATTCGGCTGGGGTTGTCAAATGTCATTAGCCAAAGCACCCAGTATTAACGATGGGGCTCTGTCCAATGTAACAAAACAAACCAACGTTGCATAAAAAACTCATTCTGCGTTATGGGTAAAAGTGCGCACTGGCTTAGCAGAACTGTAATGCACTTCACGTCTCAAGATATATATTTTTTAAATTCCCACAACAGAGTTATTCTGACTTTTATAAACGTGGCTTTTTTTTTCTCCTGCAGTTCACTGGTGCATGGTGGTCGTAGCGTTGCCCTGTATATAACGGTAACAAACAAATTGATTTGGCAATATTTTATTATAATTACGCTTTGATGCAATTCCTCGCGTGTCGCTCATTGTGCATTACAACCTACTGACTTAATCACAAATGCTTATAAATCAGAATTTAAAGGACGCGTATTAATTTCATCCTGGTCCCGAGCAGGGTGCAATTTTGTTAGGAAGGACGTTTAAAATTCGCGACCAACGACTTTCCCAGTAACTTTCAATGGCATAGACCGCTCTACATCCCCGTGTCGATCCACTGCTCGATGAAGGCCTCTCCACGCTCTGTCGGTCATGGGGGCAGCTTGACCACAATTCACCACGATGGTCAGTGCCCGTTGATGAGGGGGCAAGCCCAGGTCTGGATTCGGATCTCACTCGCCACACGCCCGGCATGCAAAAAAAAAACTCCTCCGCCGCTCCCAACAAGCGCCACTTGAATTGACAACAAAAACTTGAGGACGGGGAAATAAACATTTTATTCGGCACCTAATCTAGCCTTCCCCTGGCAACGAGGGCCTACTCGTCACGGGCAAAGGGCGGTCCACTCAGCTTAAGAGTGCGGCCGAGAAGCTGAAAGGACGCGAGGCCGACACCACCGCTGCCATGTGACCGCTGGGTCACCCCGCGCTGTGACGTGTCTCGTTCTAATTTACAACGGCAACGGGCAGCCTGATTCACGTGGCGACTTTTGTTCAGGGGCCAGTCCTAGGTGCCTTCCAAACGTCGTCAGATGACGAGAATTTCCCGCAGACTACTCGGTTGGGATTAAGCATCGCGTCCGTCGCCCCCCTACTGGCAGACGAATGGTCAAGGCCACTCTCTTTCAAATTTGACTCCGATTAGTGTGGTTGGCTACGTGCGGTGCGAACGAAGTTCAATATAAACACATAGAAAGAAAAAAGATCTCCCGCATAGCCTGTCACGGACTGTTAGGGCAAGTGCCTGTTTGCGAGCACGTATGAAGGCTGGTACGGCACACGAGGGGTTGGGTGGCGAACACTGCCCCCTGCCGCCTTTGTCTCCCCAGCGGTGATGTTTATACGCCGCACCAGGTACTCAATTGAGGCTGAGTCAACCTAGGGGATGCCCAAGACCGGTTCAGATAATAGTCAAAATCTGGTCGCCGGGTTCGTAGCACAGCGCGCTAACCGCCACGCCACCGCTCCCAACTAACACATACACATACCGTGTCAACCCACACGGATTACCCCGTATTCGTCTGCAGGGAAATTGAGTTTTCAGGTCCATACGGCGTACAGCGTTTCAATACGGGCAAAAAAAAAATCTGTCAATTTGTTTGTGTTTCTCCCTTGTGATGGGACTTTGCAGGATGAACGTTCAGATTTATAAGGGCACGGGGTGACCAATAAGGTCTGAATTGGTCTGTAATAAGGTAGGCTCTGATGGAGGGGTTGACAGGTATGTGTACATATGTACACACAGACACATAAGAACACACGCCGTCCGCTTCGCAGTGGACGATAAAGATCCAGTCACGTAACTGCAATACGAGTCGGCCATTGTGTGCCAGTTTGCCAAATTTGACAAAATAACTCGTGGCAAAAAATGCTTCACGAGCAACAGTTGCCCCCTGCAAAAAAATAGTATTGAGGCTTTCCCGGGCAATCAGGAGTAACAATGATAATGAAATAGCAGACTCTGCAATAGCAACTCCGTGCGCGAAGATTTTGAGGTGTCAGGTGGCAGTGGTTGGGTTGACCCCATGAACTCACTACGTGCAGGTGGATAAAAACCTGGATTTGAACCCAGGATTTCAAAGGTGCCGGGCAGAGTGCACTGATGAACCCAGCACAAGAGCATCCAACGGTTCCAACTACGTGCCAACGTTGCCCCAACCTACTTTCAGAGAAACGAACAAATCTGTCCGTATGTCCAGTTGCCTATTCGGATCGAGAGTCATAAGTTCAACCGCAGCGCAATACAGAACGTGAAGAGCCAGTGACATCTACATCCACAAGAGATTACACAACTTTTAAAGCCATTCCCCATATTTAGGGTACATGCCGTACAACATGTTTGGAATCGACAGGAGTAAAGTTGGACTTACGAACAAATCGACTTACGAACAGACCTCTGGAACCTAAGTAGTGGAGTTCCTGTGTGTACGTTCCCGTTTCTGCGAAGTAAAGCATTCGTAAAATGAACAAAACGATGTTCGTTTCTTGTCTGTATGAATACGCTCATGTATGGATTTTTTAAGCCGATGGCTCATGTGGCTGTGCATGTTACCATTACTTTCTTGTTGA